AGATGCGTCCTATAATGTGCAATTCATAATAATAGCACTTCCTGGTTTGCCGCGATCGCTTTTTTGTGTGCATAAAAACATATTTTTTTTCATTAAAACGTTCACAAATAATTCTGAAAACCTCCGTGCATGTGTATTAATAATGTATATGTATAAAATGTTCTCTGATTGACATTTCAAAGTGTTACGGAAACGTAGGTGTAGACCAATCAGAAAGGAAGGGGGAGGGAGCTTGCGTCGTTTTTTTCAAATCAAGTACCTCTCTGTCTCTCTTTCTGATAAACTCCAGACAATCACTTTAAGGTATATAGGAGGATTTTCTACTTCCAGGTGGATCATCAAGACTATTGGTCCTCCTAATTGTCAGTCATTCTGGTTATATGTGCTCGTCAAAGACGACCAGAGAGTTTTGGTCAAAAAGTGGAGAGGGGAGTTCTTTCCTAAAATTTGGGAAAATCCTCGTGTAAACCTTTAAGTCTTTGCCTTATCATCTGCTCATCCAGACACAAATGTATAGTGGTTTATTTGAGCAGCCCTACAATGTACATACTATTTCAAGAACAAAGCTCAAAAGGAGAAGATGAAGAAATAAGTTTATATGGGCCTTCCCCATTTTCAATACTACATTACGAAACACCACAGCATTTATAGCCAAGCCTAATTTGCGATGTCCGTCCCGAGAAGGGCTTTTTAAGTTTTACCACACTTGTCACACACACACAAAGACAGGTCGAGCCACATCTCTGTGATCTTTTACAACAATAAAACATTTAAAGACGGACGATTAGAACAGTTGTGTAACACCTCTGTCCATATACAGGAAGTAGGTCATGTGAGACTAGGTAAACATTATGTGAGCAGGAGCCAAAAGTAACAGGTGTTGAGAGGTGAGTGGTCGATCCGAAGTTCCCCAAAGCGTAAATAAAACGTACTGTTGTGTCATTGAAGCTACTACGACTGAGGCTCTTGATCTGTGTCGCAAAAACAGACAGAAAACATTACATTGACAAAAACAAGGGCTGCATATATGTTTGATTGTGCGACTAAACTGGCCGAGTGTGGCGTGGCGACTAGAGTGGCAGTACTTGTGGTCGTAAAGTTGGGGTACCCCTCCTCATAATTCATCTTTCTCTTAAAAGAAAACATGCTATCTTTTGCCTGTTGCACAGAAAAGAACCGTGTGAGTCACTATTTGATGCTTTGGGTTGAAAGACCAGAGAGAGAGAGAGACACCAGAGAAAGATGGGAGACCAGAGAGAGAGAGAGACTAGAGGGGGAGACCAGGAAGAAAGACCGGAGCGAGACCAGAGAGAAACCAGCGAGAGAGACCAGAGAGCTCAGAGAAAGATCAGAGCGCAGAGAAAGAGAAACCAGAGAAAGATGGGGGGTGAGATAGAAAGAGAGCAGACAGAGAAAGACCAGAGGGGGAGACCAGGAAGAGACCAGAGAAGGGAGAAAGACCAGAGAGAGGGTGGTCCTACTTTTCAATTTTCTGTCTCAAAACACTGAGCTAAAGACGTGACAGAGGCCAGAAATACATGCATGTGAAAACTATAGAATCATATTTTTTTAGGATCCAGGAACTTATTTATTGGAGGAAGAAGAAGAAGAATGTCCTTTATTCGTCCCAAAATGGGGAAATTTCAGTTTGATGCATACACATACACACATACACATCAAGGCAAGCAGCGAACATTCACTTCCGCGCTCCTTAAAGGCAAAGTGGGTTAAGTGTCTTGCCCAAGGACACAACAGCAGCAGACATCAGTGGGAGTCAGTGGAGAAGGTCTTGAGGTGATAATTATTAGGCAGTTTGAAAGTTTGGTACCCCAGCTTTAAGGTTATCTCTTGGTTTGGCAACAAAGAATGGTCCAGCTGCCTTCTGTCACCTTGGACTCGCCTACAGACCTGTGGACCAGTCCCCAGGCTGGGAGCCGTTACTTACATCAGTCTAAACTACTGGAGACAAACGCAGGATAACCAATCTCCAAGGCTGCTCGAGCTGGACACTATATTTTTTTGGATTTTGGCAATGTTTTTCAGATGGCAAAAAAGCTGCAGATGTTACAGTAGAGAGCTCTCCTCCCCACTGCCCCAGATCCAGAGGCCCAGTGTGACCCAGTTTGAGTCGGTTACACAGAGCCAGGGGAGGGAGAATATGTTTGGAGAGCAGAGACATTCCTCTTTGTTCATTCACCCAGCCGCTTATGTAAGACCATCACGTGACGCTGGCTCCGTGTGCAGCTTCCGAGCCTCAAAGATGATTATACAAGTGACTGTGGTTACACAACACAGAGGAGAGGGAAGGAGAGAGGGAGAGAGGGAGGGAGAGAGGACAGGTAAAGGGGAGCAGCAGCTGAAGAATATGAGCTGAGAAATATCTACAAGTTTAGCCCTTTAATGGTTTCTTCGAACATTTGGTGGATCATTCCCCGAGTTACTAAATCTACTTGAGGCTTGGAACAGAAATCTACCTCATTAGGGCATCTCTATCACCTGGTTAAAGGCACTTTTACCATCAAACTGCATCTCACCCATTTGGTAAAGGGCTACAATGAATACAACATTATTTGTGTTATTAGTGCTCATACATTTTAGAAAATAAAAAAAATAAAAAAATGCTTTTAACATTAAATTGTTAAAGAAGACATGAAAAATTGTCTTTTTGGAGTTTTTGAATATAGTTTGAAATAGGCCCTTTTATCATGATGAGTGCATTTTGTTAAGGCTTAAAGGGGATGTCAGCCACTTTTAAAATAATGACCATGTGTCACTTCAATTCAATGTATTTTTGTATACAGTGGTCCCTGGTTCATTGCAGGGATTAGGTTCTAAAGATAAAATGTGATGGAGTGAAATTCTTTGAAGTAGCAGCTGTATATTTTAAGGCTGTAAAACCCCTCACCACACTTTATACACTTTTCTAACCACCTGCTGAAGTGCAATCACAGAGAGTCAAAGGACTGAGGGAGACCAGAGAGAGACCAGAGAGAGACCAGGGAGAGACCAGAGAGAGACCAGAGAGAGACCAGAGAGAGACCAGGGAGAGACCATAGAGAGACCAGGGAGAGACCAGAGAGAGACCAGAGAGAGACCAGGGAGAGACCAGACAGAGACCAGAGAGAGACCAAAGAGAGACCAGTGAGAGACCAGAGAGAGACCAGAAACCAGAGAGAGACCAGAGAAATATCAATAACCAGAGAGAAAAACCAAAGAGAGAGCAGAGAGAGACCAGAAAGACCAGAGAAACACCAAAGACCAGAGTAAAGACCAGAGAGAGACCAGAGAGAAAAACCAAACACAGACCAAAGATAGACCAGAGAGAGACCAAACAGAGACCAGAGAGACCAGAGAGAGACCGGACAGACCAGACAGAGACCAGAGAGAGACCAAAGAGAGACCAGACAGACCAGTGAGAGACCAGAGAGAGACCAAAGAGAGAGTCCTATGAGCAAACCACCGCGTTGCACACAAGCCACAGACAATCTCTGACTTTATATAAAGGAAATGGTCGTGTTCTACGTGAGCTGCAGAGTTTTGAATAAGTCGCAGATACTGGACAGATTTAAGTCAAAGACCTGAGAAAACAAAAGGCCCCAGATCAACGTCCAAAAGGCTTCTCGTCACAGTTTAGCAGTAATGATATCAGGCGAAAGCAAAGTAGCGGTGTCCTACATTGTGAGTGTCGTGGTGCACACATGATACGATGGCGGCACACTGACCCACATAAGAAACAAAAACAACAAAAAACATCATTGGCCGTGAAGCAGTGTTTTGGACAAGCAGAGAGATTTCACAGATACCAGGAACTCGAGCCTGAGGTAATAAGGTCAGAACCCAACTCCACTGACCCTCTCCCAGCAGACATCACCACAGATGGACCTAGTGATGAACATATGATACTATTAACACTAGAAGTCTTAGAGCAGTCAATTTGACGGCGTTTGGATTGAGAAGTGGGATTCCTCAGCTCACGTACATTTGCGGTGTTCATAATGTTTTTTGTCTCTATATGATTATTTGTCCATCCATCCATCCATCCATTTTCTACCCTTTAATCCATTTCTGGGTCAGGGGGGTGGCAGTCAGAGATGCCACCCAAGTCTCATAGCACCAGCCCCTCACTGACCCTCTGCAGGTGGTGAGTCCACAGGAGGACGGCTGCTCTCTGAGTGTGAGCATAGCCTTGATCTTTCAGTGGGGGCTTTGGGCAAAGTGGGGTTAAGTGTCTTGCCCAAGGACACAACGACAGCAGTCATCAGTGGGAGTCGATGGAGAAGGTGCAGAGGTGGGAATTGAACCCACGACCTTCTGGGCTTAAGGCCAATGCTCTACCAACTGAGCTACTGTCGCCCCTATGATTATTTGTCATTATTAAAAATTGAATGACCAGAGAGAGAGCAAAGAGAGACCATAGAGAGACCAGAGACAGACCAGAGAATGACTAGAGAAAGACTAGAGCAAGACTAGAGAGAGACCAGAGAAAGACCAGAGAGAGACCAGAGAATGACTAAAGAAAGACAAGAGAGAGACCAGAGAAAGAGACCAGAGAAGGACCAGAGAGAGACCAGAGGGTGACCAGAGAGCGAGACCAGAGAGAGACCAGAGAAAGACCAGAGAGAGACTAGAGAGAGACCAGAGAGAGACCAGAGACGGACCAGAGACAGACCAGAGAGAGACCAGAGACAGACCAGAGAGAGACCAGAGAGAGACCAAAGAGAGATCAGAGAGAGACCAGAGAGAGACCAGAGACAGACCAGAGACAGACCAGAGAAAGACCAGAGGAAGACCAGAGAGAGACCAGAGAGAGACCAAAGAGAGATCAGAGAAAGACCAGAGAAAGACCAGGGAGAGACCAGAGAGAGAGACCAAAGAGAGAGACCAAGGCGAAAATGAAAAAGCATGCACAATTTGCACACATAAAAACTTGCGAAACAACAAGGTTGCGAAAAGTGAACCATGGTGAGGGACCATGTGTGTTCTCCTCTGGTGGCGAGTACCTGTATGGTGGTGTTGCCTCCCTCCAGCAGAGCGATGGCCAGCAGGATACTCTCCTGGAACACTCTGTCGCTGCTGGTGTTCATGATGAGGTCAATCACCAGGTCCGACGCCCCCTCTTTGTCCAGGTGACACTGCACCTCAGCCAGGCTCATCTGCCCCCGGCTCAGGCCCCCAGGAACCAGGGCTGGACACAGGGACAGCGCAAACACACTGTAAAGCGGGGGTACCTACCTTTGATACAATTTCATAACATAAACATGGTTTTGCTGAAGAGAAAAAGTAACATTGAGTGAACCAATCACACACCAAACTGTCTCCAGCTTATTAGACAAAATGTTATCTTTTGTTTAACGCTAGAACTTCCAGATTAGTCAATTTGACGGGTTTTCATTTTGGAAGTGTTTTTGGGTCTTCAAAAGTTTTGGACTTCTTCTGTTTCTTTATTTTGTTTATTTCTATATAATTATGTTTTTGAAAATATCTCAATTCACTGATCCAAGACGATCTCATCTTGGAGTTGAGTACTAGTTACCATAGCAACACACTGTTTACTTGCAGCAGTTGGCATTTAGTTTTGCCGTATTTAATTTATAAGAACCAGTTTTAGCATGCATTAAAAATAAAACCCCAAAAAATTACTTATATTTAATATAATTAGTTTTAAAAAAATGTTGGTGGATTTTTTTCAGAATGGGAGCCGTCAAAATGATGGAGGAAGAGGACTGGCAGAGGACTTACTTCACTATAGTGTGCAGGGGTTGATTTGAACATAAGATAGCTGGAGCCAATTTCCTTATATGACTCATACAAGGGGCAGACGTCTTGCTAATATAGTTGCTAAGACAAGCTGGAGTTCGCCCCGTGAATGAAGGCATCTGATTGTGCAAGACAAAGACAATATCACAATAAACACCAGGATCCAAAAATATGGTGAGAGTGACACAAACGATTACTGAGCTAGAGGAGTTTACTTTTCAAGGTAAGTTAATAGGAGCCAATAGTGAATTTGAGCAAAACTTTGACCATGAGCGCTTCCCTTTTGGGCTTCATTGAGCTAGCGGGTTAGCATCATCTGTCTACAGTCTGTGGCTGTAGTAGTTTGCAGCTGCACTCTCTGAACCCGGAGAGTGAGTGATTATGATGTCACCCTCTGCAAAGGTCAGACGAGCCGTGGAGCTGATACTGGGACGCTGAGGCTGTGCTTTGTAGTGAAGCTGACATCATGCTGTCGACTGAGAGTGATAATCTATTACACACGTACGATCTGCACGTGCTCTCCAACCTTCTTGCCGTGTCTCATGTAAAACTAAAGAAAGGAGAAGCTGCTTTCTCCCTATGTGCTCCTTGTAAATGGAACGGTCTGCTTACTGACATCATACAGGCTTTGACGCAGAGCTCATTCAAGAGTAGATCAAAGACTTTTCCCCACTGTTGCCCCTGAGTTTTTTTCATCGACTCCCGACCCAGGACATCAGTGGGAAAGGGTGGCGTGTTTGACAAGGACAACAGCACAGCCTCAGTCCTGGATCTACGGCCTCAGTCCTAGATCTACGGCCTCAGTCCAGGATCTACAGCCTCAGTCCTGGATCTACAGCCTCAGTCCTGGATCTACGGCCTCAGTCCTAGATCTACGGCCTCAGTCCAGGATCTACAGCCTCAGTCCTGGATCTACAGCTTCAGTCCTGGATCTACAGCCTCAGTCCTGGATCTATAGCCTCAGTCCTGGATCTACAGCTTCAGTCCTGGATCTATAGCCTCAGTCCTGGATCTACAGCTTCAGTCCTGGATCTATAGCCTCAGTCCTGGATCTACAGCTTCAGTCCTGGATCTATAGCCTCAGTGGGCCCCAATTTTCCTCACTGGGTTTGCAGATGGTTGGGGGCCTGGATGACATGGTGGCGCAGTGGTCCTGGGTAAAATTCCACCTCCAGACCTTTCTGTGTGACGTTTGTATGTTCTCCCCATGTCTGCGCAAGTTTCCTCTGGGTGCTCTGGTTTCCCATACCACTAAAAATCATGTCTGGCATGTGCCTGCTCCCATGTGTGGAGTGAGAGGAGCAAAGCCCACGACAATTGCAAAGTGCTTTGTGACTCTCATCATCCCAATCGCTTTTTTATGTGTTTGTTTGTTATTATTTCATTTTCTTGAGCTCGAACTGTTTGATTCTCTGATCTGTTGTTGGCAAATCCGCAACTTTGTAAAGTCCATAGAGACGACCGCTGCTGTGTTTTTGTGCGATACACAAATACACTGAATTGAACTTTTGATCCTCTCATTTCCCAGTCCGCCTCCTCCACACCTCCGCTCGTACCTTGTGGAGCCTTGTGCGCGGCTCCCAGCACCGGCCCGTTAGCAAACGACGTCAGACTCTCCCTCCGCCCGCCGCCGCCCCGGAAGTTTCCATAGTAACGGCTCACCAGGATCTGCCTCAGCGCCTCGCCCTGAAACAGCAGAAAATAGAAATGGTGACGACAGGCAGCGGTTGTGTAACGGATGCATCATCGGAGTGAGGAGAGACTTTCCAAAGTGGAGTTCCCCAAAGAGAGACTGCGGATTTTTACTTCTCACACAGTTCAAACCCCAGAACCTTTTCCACATTCTGTCTCGTTATAACCCCAGAGAAAGATGTTTTTTTTTTTTACTTATTTGTGGAAGACAAACATGATGACTGAAATCTCAATATCTCTATGGTCTCTTTCTCTGGTCTCTCTCTCCAATCTTTCTCTGGTTTCAAAACTGGTCTCTGTTCTCTCTCTCTCTCTAGTCTCCCTGGTCTATCTCTCTGGTCTCTCCCTCTCTGGTCTCCCTCTCTGGTCTCCCTCTCTGGTCTCCCTCTCTGGTCTCTCTCTCTGGTCTCTCTCTCTGGTCTCTCTCTCTGGTCTCTCTCTCTGGTCTCTCTCTCTGGTCTCTCTCTCTGGTCTCTCTCTCTGGTTTCTATCTCTCTGGTCTCTCTCTCTGGTCTCTCTCCCTGGTCTCTCTCCCTGGTCTCTCTCCCTGGTCTCTCTCCCTGGTCTCTCTCTCTGGTCTCTCTCTCTGGTCTCTCTCCCTGGTCTCTCTCTCTGGTCTCTCTCCCTGGTCTCTCTTTCTGGTCTCTCTCTCTGGTCTCTCTCTCTGGTCTCTCTCTCTGGTCTCTCTCTCTGGTTTCTATCTCTCTGGTCTCTCTCTCTGGTCTCTCTCCCTGGTCTCTCTCCCTGGTCTCTCTCCCTGGTCTCTCTCCCTGGTCTCTCTCTCTGGTCTCTCTCCCTGGTCTCTCTCCCTGGTCTCTCTCTCTGGTCTCTCTCCCTGGTCTCTCTTTCTGGTCTCTCTCTCTGGTCTCTCTCTCTGGTCTCTCTGTTCTCTTTCTCTGGTCTCTCTATAGTATCTTTGGTCTCACTTCCTAGTCTATCTCTCCGGTCTATCTCTCTGGTCTCTCTCTCTCTCTTTGGTCTCTCTCTCTGGTCTCTGTCTTGGGTCTCTCTCTCTGGTCTCTCTGTGGTCCAAACCTCAGAACCTTTTCCATAACCTCGCTATGAAACCTGATGCAACACAGAAATCAGAATGATGGTAAATTAAAATAACGGTTGATGATCAGGCATGTCCATATGTGGCGCCCTCTGCATTTTTTGTTTTTCTCATTTAATTAAACTGGATATTGTAACGTGGCACAGTGCAACTTGAGACGTGAAATATAAATGTTTGTTGTACCTTTATCCCCCTGGAGAGCTACTGAGAGCTACTGTCTGTAAGTAACATAAAAGTCTACACAATGTTATTGACTTTATTGGTCTGGGAAGTCCAACATTTGTAAGCAAGGGTCAAAAAAATATTGATTTAAGGCAAAGGATTATTATGGGAACCTTGTATGGAGAAAAATCACATGGTCCCCGCACCAGAGTTTGAGAACCTGAGCTACATGGAAGTCGGTGGTGAGCTAAAAGTCATCTGCTTCTGAACTCTTCACTTTTATAACAAACCGTGGGCAACATTTTGGTCTCTTTCTGCTTGTGTCCGGCCAAAACGTAATCATTTGGAGCCCGGTCGTCATGGCGACAGACCTCCCAGCGGATCAAAGGGGAGGCTCTTGTTGTTTGTTTGTTTGTGTGGTGGTTACGCGGCGGTGATGGCGGTCGGCGGGTGGTCCGGGCAGAGCCACAGTTATGTAAGAGATGAGGTCACCGCTGCACTGTCCTCATCGCAATGAGGCGCAGAAACAACAGTTAGTTCTATAGTTCTGCTTCTGCGACCAACTGTAGAAGCTTAAAGTTAGCTATAATGATGATTCTAGGATGCGACTTTAAAAGCCCAGGTCCAGAATGTCCAGTCTTCTGCTCTGCAAGACTCGGGTCAACAAACTTCAGGAGAAAATTGTGTTTTATATTCATGTGTCGCTTCAACTTTGAGAATTGAGTATTTATTTGTTTGTATGGAAAAGATAAGATGGACTTTATTGAGCTCACAATGGAGAAATGTTCATGTCACATTTGGCATCACACAGGTTGAGCAAAAGCCAGGAAATGTACAAACAGGAAATGTGCAAACAAAACGACCCAGAAATGGGTAAACAAAGAGGATGAAAATGACACGACATGATGATGACATGTTAAAAGGTGAAAAGCTCATCTCTTTCACACAAGAAATATTATGTACAAATTAAATTAAAGTGACTATAGCAGGATGAGTTGTTCTGCTGCTGGACACTTTTGAATTTTTCTACAGAGGATTAATAAAGTATCTATCTATCTGACTCTGGTGGTGGCGCTGGTGAACCCCTGGTCCTGTGCTGCTGGTACCAGTCTCTTAAGTGAAACACTGGTATAGTCTTTTATAAGCTCGTCTGTATTTTTTTGTGTTTTTTGTTTTTGATTCTTTGGTTGTTCTAGTGCCGACCTGGAGTCTGAATACAAAAATGATCATGATGTTCTTGATTAATATGGATTTCATGTTCACTGTGAAACTCACTTTGATCTTCATTACTGAAAGATTATGCAGGATAGGGCCTGGTTAGTACTGTGATGGGAGACCTCTGAGAATCACAGTGGGGCGGCTGCGGCTGTAAAGTGCCAAACTGTTGTTGTGTACTTAGGCAACACACTTCACCCACACCTCTGTCTGGTCTCTGGTCATTGCCTAGACTGAGTTGTGTGTGTGTGTGTGTGTGTGTGTGTGTGTGTGTGTGTGTGTGTGTGTGTGTGTGTGTGTGTGTGTCTGAGTGAGTTGGAAGTGGTCAGAGGGGCTGATGGCACATATTGGTTGCCACACTTATGTAAGTCTGCCCCAGGACAGCTGCCCATCTCTGAGTGTCATAAAAAGTGCTATATGAGTATGCATCATTATTCATTATTGAACTCATCATAAACTAATCAGGAACTAATGCGTAAAGAGTAAAATGTTATCTTTAATCTTTTAAATGTACTTTAATTATTGATGATTTTAAGGCATTGTGTGATGGTTGCGATCTTATTTTGTTCAGCACTTTGAGTTTCCTTGTGTATGAATTGTGCTAAACAAATAAGCTTGCCTTGCCTTGCCTTACGCAATATTTATATACATTTATAAATAGTCAATAAGTGCTTGGAAATGTTATGCAAGTTTGACAATTAATTATGTCTATTTGTAGGACTGGTTTCTCCACACTGACTGTAGTCTTATCCGTTTATACCAAATCACAACATTTTGCCAAAACCCTGCAGCCCTGGTGTAAACATTGTAGTGTAAAAGAGGGATTCCTTTGTTATGGAAGAGTTCATTTTAAGGTCTGTTGGTCAAAAATGGCATTTCCATCATCAGATGGGCAGATTCAGGACACTGGTTTTCAAGGGGGTCACCAAAACAAACCGGAAAGAAAGAAAAATCTGCCCAAGAAGCGAACTTCCATAACATCACACACATCGATTGAGACTTCCTCCAGTTTCCTCCCAGACGCCGGGCTGTGCGAGCGAGCAAAGCGGCGTGTGCGGTGCGTGTGGTTACTCTTGTTAGTACGTACCCGCTTTTGGTCATTGAGCAGCTTCTCGGGCTGGCTTTGGTCCGGCTGCGGCGCCAACAGACATATGGAAGCACAGTTAAAACACATGCAAAGGTTAGTACTACAGTGATCACATGAGCCCAGGAGTCCTGTGGCTTCGGTGAGCGGGCAAGCAAGAGTGCGGACGAGCAGGTTACATGAGGCAGAGACAGGTGAGCTGGTGCGCAATGACCACAACGAGAGAAAACACTCCTCAGTGAAACACACATTGCCAGAGGCCATTTTGGATTTCACATACGGGCAAACATGTGAGGAATGGGATTGCGCTGTGGTGATAGTGGTTGGACCTGGCACGTTTCGATTGATTTTGTGCGAAGAGCAAACACAAAGCTTTGGGCCGTTGGGTTCTTGCAGAAAGTGTGCGGGGGAATCAATGTGAGAAAAGATTAAGATGAGATAAGCCCGAATCCTGGAAATACAGCCTGTTTATCTGTGGGAAAATGAATTCACACCGTTTTAATCTTTAATAAGTGCTAACACTGATCAACATGACTTGGAATACAGCAAAAACTGTTTGTTGAAAGGCTACTAAATGCTAACCGCTGTCAACAGTGTGTTGCTATGGAAACTAGCACTTGCTCCAAGCTGAGACTGTTCTGAACCAGTCCAGGACCAGCACCAAAAGTTGCTTTAACTGTCATACAATGTCGGTTGTAAAAATAAGTCACAAAGTAATGAAGACCATACATGCACTTAAACTAACTAGTTATTCTTCCAAAACGAAAAGCCATTAAATTGACTGCTCTGGGAGTGGTGAACATTGGCATGTTCTCTGCGCTCGGCCTTCTCTGTGTCTGCTCTGTTGACACAGCTCCACATACTAGTGTTATGTAAAAGGCCTGAGCAGAGGAGGCTGAGGGCACGTTACATAAAGACCAGGGAGGAACCAGGGCACAGCCATCTTTCAGCACCAGGCGTGACGTCAACATCCTCAAATATGCAGCGGGAAGACCTGCACATACACCAGACCAGGTGAGAATGCACCATGACATGACAAGAACTAGGCTAACCCTGAGCTCAACCAAGCTCATTGGAGGAATAACCACAAATATGATGAAAAACCTGCTAGTCCATTATAATGCAAGTTCATCTGGTCTCTCTCTCTGGCCTCTGGTCAGCCTCTCCGGTCTGTCGGAAGTTTGTTTTAACATTTTATTTCCCAATAGTGAAAAGTCGGCACGAGTGTAAACAATATACCAACCTATGCTTGACTAGTTTCACCGAAACATCCAAATCAAAACCTTTTCACAGAGATCAATGAATGCATTTTCTCTGATGAATCCCACTGGCAGATCACCTGACGCCTGCTTCCATTTCCCACAGAAAAGCCACATGTGAAACTTCACATCTGCAGCTGGAGACGTCTGAGCCTCAAACACCACAACGCTGTCGCCACTTCCTACTTTCCACCACGCGCTGCATGTTCCTCTGCTGAGCTCTGAAACTGCAATAACAAAGCAACTGTGGCTGAGTGGATAGCACTCTCGCCTCTCAGCAAGAAGGTTCTGGGTTCAAATCCCGGTCGGACCAGGGCCTTTCTGAGTGGAGTTTGCATGTTCTCCCCGTGTCTGCGTAGGTTCCCTTCTGGGTACTCCGGTTTCCCCTACCACTAAAAATATGTACAATAGGTCTGGCATGTGCCTCCTGTACTGGCGACTCTGCTCCCATCTCTGTGTGGAGTGAGAGACTAATGCCCAAAAATAACAATTGTAAACCGCTTTGAGACTCAGATCTGCAGTGAAAAGGCGGTATATAAATAAAAACTTACTTACTTACTACTTACTTACTTACTACTTTAAGTTTGTTGATGTTGTTGTTGACAAATGGCTGGAGAAGTTAATATGGACATTCCTGTGCTGCCTTACATGAAGACCTGCCTATAGAGCAGTCCAGGCGAGAATGCACCGTAACATGACGGGAACAAGACTAAACTCCTACAGTAACTCAGTGAAGCTCAATAGGGGCATATGAAAATATGATGAAAAACAGAGAGAGAGAGACCTGAAAGAAACCAGGGAGAGGCCAGAGAGAGACCAGAGAGAGAGAGATGGAGAGATAGAGATAGAGAGAGAGAGAGAGAACTGAAAGAGGCCAGAGTGAGACAAGAGAGAGAGCGAGAGAGAGAGAGAGAACTGAAAGAGGCCAGAGAGAGACAAGAGAGAAACCTGAGAAATAGAGAGGAGAAATAATGTTAAAGGGAGACACACACTATTGAGAACTGAAGACTTTTAAACAGGTTCAAAAGCGGAGTTGCTGTTTGTTATCATAGTTTCAAAATAGAGTCATAAAAATCTCAAGAATTTCTGGCTGGGTGTGTAAACTTTCATGCACAACTGTAGTTTAAAAAGAGCACTCTGGTTGGAGCCACACACACACACACACAAACACACACACACACCTAAAAAACATAACAAAGATTGTTTGCATTGCTGCTTTTGCAAATGTCAGTTTGGATCCCTTCTGTCATCTGCGAGTTACGTAAAAGCCAAATGCTCCTGTGTTACGTAAGACCTCCTACTGTACGCGCTTCCCTCCCAGAGATTTTTTTGTGCGTTTGTCAACATGAGGACTCGACTGGACCAGGTTTGCATTCGCACAGCTGCATTCGGTGCTTTACCCTCAGCCCAGCGACCACAGGGCTCTTTGGGAGGGAAGTAGGTCGCATATAGAAATGACACACTGACACATAATTCTGTTGTTTTTTTCTGCGCAACTCGATGCCTTCGTTAACTCGAGGCGATCATGTGTTTTGGTCAAAGCAAAGCAGATGGTGGACACACTATCTGGGATCTATGAGTCATGCAACAAACAAGAGGTAAAACTGGGCACGAATCTCCTCTGACGTTCAGAGGAAAAAGCTGTTGTATTATACAAAACTTTGAAAAATAAAGTAGAAATAATTATGATAATGAGACTATTTACCTTTTCATCTCATGTGGAAAAATATCTTAGTAGAAAGCATATGGTGGTGTGTACATACATATACAGTATTAGTAAAAAATGTTGGCTGTAAAGTAGAATTTGTATTTTCTTTTGTCCAAATTTGAAAAAAGTGATTAAAAAAAGTTATTTCAGTGAGAAATTGCCAAATCTATTTTACGCCAATACTTTTGTTTTAAATGGCAAAAAACGGCACTGAGTGTGATGTCATAGTCGTAAAATGACATCATACCATTACAGGACTGAGACAGAAACTTTTAGACTGAAGGGGCGGAGCTAATTAACCACGATAAAAATGAATAATTAATCCATATATTTGTGCGTACATGCTGTATATGTTCTATTTAAAGCTGGGGTATCTAACTTTCAAACCACAAAAAAACATATAGTTAAAAGTCATATTTTTCTGGTGAACCCAATTGCATTACAAAAATATGTCTTGCGGGATTGCCTTTCCAAAACAATGTGGTGTAATTAAAGCTGGGGTACGCAACTTTCCAAACACAGAATAATAGAACCAAGTGATAAAATCCATGTCACTAGTTCCTGGATCTCAAAACAGTTTGGTTCAATCATTCGTTTTTCTCTGTCGCATCCTCAGATCAGCTCAGAAATGTGAAAAAGAGAAGGGCGCCCTCACTCAGCCAATCAGCTCTCATCAAAGCATCAAATAGTGACTCACAGGGCTCATTCATTCAAGTATGGAAAAGATTACATGTTTTCTGATACAAAAAAAGATACTGATTTTAAAAAAAAAAGAAAAAAAAAGTTACATACACCAATTTTATATTTATAAAAAGGGACATCAACTGCAAAATCTACTAAAACAAAATCCTGTGAGTATTTCTGGCCTCTGTCACCTCGACGTCAGCTTTTTCAGACAGAAGCAGCTAAAATAGTGACTTGCAGGGCTCTTTCTTACACCAAATGTTTTCTAATAATAGAAAGACAGCATGTTGTGGTCTCTTTCCGTTGGGACAAACCTACTAAAAGTCTAGTATTTCTTAAAACTAAAAGTCACGTATCCCAGCTTTAACTCCACTCAAATGTGTGGCGCTTAAAGTCGAGAAATATTTTATTATCATGTTTATCCCGGTTCAAAATCCTGCCATGTCAACAGCAGCAGATTTAGCAGCAGCTTTGTGGATCAACAGGTTTTTATTTTCTCTATTTTTTGGCGCCGGCTGTGAAGGTCACACATCGAGCTGGGGCCAGTTCCAGGAAGAAAAAAAAAAACACCCAAGTCTTATGTAACCAGCCGGGTTTGGCAGCGCTCCAGGAATCGTGCAGGAAAGTAGGACACAGCACACTGCTCCACACCCAAAACTGCAAAAGAATGACACCAAATAATCTCGCAGACTGATTTCATATTGATCGGACTGTCGTGAGGCTATTATGGCAACCAGGACAATACTATAATGTCTTCGTTAAGGTGTATTTAAGACTAGGATTAGGAAATTCTCACATACATTGACAAACATATACTACTATGCATGCAATCAGACTCAGCTGCTCGTTGTAATGGCTAAGCTTTTATATTGAAATAAAGATGTGTGTTTGCCCAATTCAAGCAAATATAAACTTATGTGTAGTCACAGTTTTTGCAGTGCTCAGTGTGCAACAGGAGAGCGGTTGGATGCAGAGACATTGCCCCCTGCAGGCGGCAGAGAGGACTGCAGGGGAAACACCCACAGAGCAAGGAGGAAAGCTCTGCATGGTTTTTTGGATCCTTGTCTGTAACAGTTTGATTACTTCGAACACAGTAATTCGACAATAAAAAGCTGGGATACCTGTAGTAGTCCATAAACTCTATAATTCTACTATTCTACCACAGCCCCAGATCAGACTCTCCATAAAGAGGATTGGCTCAAACACTCAGCCTTGAAGCATCATTTAGTGATTGTCTCTAAATCAGGGCGACAGATTTCTTTAAGTCAAACTCAATTTTTTTCCAAATAACTTTGACGACCTACTTCACAGACGTTATTGCACTTGTAATTTGTATCTTTAAGAAATGGGTATTTTTGGCGCTTCTGCTGTGGTCTGGTCTGTGGCTGGTTTAGACCTAATTCAGTCCTGGTTCAGTCCTGGTTCAGACCAGGTTCAGACCAGATTCAGAACTGGTTTAGTACTGGTTTAGAACTGGTCCAGACCTGGTCTAAATCTGATTCAGACCTGATTCAGACTTGGTTCAAACCTAGTTCCAACCTAGTTCAGACCTGGTCCAGACCTGGTTAAGACCTAGTTCAGACCTGTTTCAGACCTGTTTGAAACCTGCTTACAACCAAAACATTTCATCAGCTTGAACTCTTTGCTATTTATTCTGTTTTTGACTGTATGTTTGAACTTTTGTAACATGAATTGTGTAGAATTAACCCCTGAAAGACGAGTGGAGCAAGTGAAGCTAATGGGAACCCAGATGAACAAATGCATCAATAAATTGATAATTGGGTGACACGGTGGCTGAGTGGATAGCACTCTCGCCTCTCAGCAAGAAGGTTCTGGGGTTGAATCCCGGTCGGAACAGGGCCTTTCTGAGTGGAGTTTGCATGTTCTATCTGTGTCTGCATAAGTTTCCTCCGGGTACTCCGGTTTCCCTTACCACTACAACATAACATCATAACTCAATACTTCAACTCGGTACTTCACTCGGTACTTCAAAAAACTCAGAACTCGGAATACTTCAAAAACTCAGAAAACTCATAAAACATCTTTCATAAAACTCGTCAACAATCTTCAGTAAAATACAAAACTTCATCAGTCGATGGTGATTCCAGATATTGCTTTGAAAACAGTCTCTCCCACTTCTCCGTGTTGATTTTTTCAGGCTGCATTTGTGTCGAGCCATGAATTCTTCTGTGACGTGTCTTTCAATCACACGTTTCAGCTTTAGTGTCCAGATTCAGCAATTCAATTCAGTCCAAATGATGTCCAAATTCAGAAATCCAGATTGTTCCAAATCATGTCCAAATTGTTTAATCCAATGGTTCCAAATGGTGTCCATGCAAAAGAGGACGATGGTATTGTCCATGTCTCAGCAGCTCACAGCCTGATTGGAATCAGGGGCTGTGCAGATAGTCCATGTGCTGATCCAGATGCATTCTCTTGAGGTTTCTCAGTTTTGGCTTAAAAAAAATAAAACACTTTTTGTGTAAAAAAAAAAAGTAGTCTTCTGTTCTGTAGATGTTACAGACAAGGCCCGCATCCTTCCACCACCTGAAGAAGATGACAAAGTCTGGGATCGCGTCTTTCATTCAGACAGAAGACATGTTTTATTGTCGATGGTAGAGACAGCACGAACAACACGAACAACAGAATGCAAGTGTATTATACAGAGCTGAGGCATGGAGACCTCCAATCAGCAGCTTCCACGGTGCCATGTAGCTTGGCCTTCAGATAGAGAAAACAAGGGAAAAGTACTGGCTTCTGCACATTGATAGAATGATGAGTTTAACTTTAACAAAAGTTGCTTAAAAGTGTTATGAAATCTCACAATGGTTTACAATGAATGAAAAGATCCAGAGCAGGAGAACAGTGCTTGGAGATCACTGTCACATCGTTACACCAGTTTGTATTGACGTAGAAGCAGAGTCCTCCGTCTCTGCTCTTCCCTGAGAGCGCACAATGGCGATCCGCGTGGAACAGCTCAAAGCCCTGCAGCACCAGAGCACTGTCCGGGATCCGCTCATTCAGCCAGGTCTCAGTGAAGCAGAGGACACAGGATAAGGCGAAGTCCTTGTTTCTTCTCATGAGCAGGCCGAGTTTGTCCATCTTATTGCCCAGTGAGCGTACGTTGGAGAGAAAAATGCCGGGGCGTGCCGTGCGCGCTCCTCTCCTCCTAAGACGCACAAGCAGGCCCCCGCGCTTTCCCCTTTTACGGGCCCACACTTTTTTGGCCAGAACATGAACTAAATCAGCCGCAGATGCCAAGAAAACAGGCAATAGGTCCATGGGAACGGTGGCTCGGATTTTCATAAGTTCCTCACGGGTGTAGGAACAGCCAGATGCGCAGTTAAAAAGTAAAAACAAAAGATAAAGAGAGCAGCAAAGAGCCATGTCGACCGTACGAGGCGCCATCTTTGTTTGATTGTGTCAATCAAACAGCACATTTAAATCGGGGAATACATTATACATATACTTTCTTAACACACGTGCACGGTGGTTTTCAGAATGATCTGTTAACGTTTTCATGACAAAAACACTGTTTTAATACATATATATATATATATTTAATATTCAGTAGTCAAATATACATACAAGCACGAGCGCGATGATCGACAGCCCTTGGCATCACTTGATTGCCTTCGTGGCTTTTGAGCTATAGCTAAGAGAAGGGAAGGCGGGACTTACCCGTAATATTAGAATTCATAAAATTACTTCTTTTACATCAACATTTAAGGCCAGTTGTCAATTTAATACAATTCTTAAAATGTGTTGTCAATTTAGAGTTCTAGACTATCACTTTAAGGCCAAACGGGAGGTGATTATTGCATTCTAATGTTTTCCTGGGTCCCTGCAGGTATCATCGAGCCTCGCCTGTCTCTGCTGCTGTGGCTGGGAGTTCTGGCCTCTCTGGTCATTGTGGTCATCATGCCTCAGCCTCTGGGCATCCGCACCCTCGTCATCCTCACCATCCTCCGCCTCATCTTTTCTGTGGGGCTGGAGCCGACGCTGTTTCTCCTGGGAGCCTTCAATGTGAGCATGAAAATGACATCACAATTGCCTGTTACTAGTTTTTTAAAGTTGTCGACAGATCAGAGAATCAAACATTTTGAACACTGGAAATGCAATAATGAAAAATATATGACTCATTGCGTCCTTCTTTGAGTCTTGGTTTATAACGCACAAAAAAAGTAGATTATTGCAATAATGTTGGACTGTGCTCCTGTCTGCTTCTATATCAGCCATTACATATGATTTTCCAACATGTAACAGAAGGGTGAACGTGATTGGCTCCTGTGAGAGCAACTGATGTAGTCATCTCCCACCTCTCTCCTTTCTCCTTCCTCTCCTCTCCCCTGTCTCTCCGCTCCTCTCTCCCCTCATTTCTTTCTCTCTCCCTCTCTAATCTCTCTCCTTTCCTCTCTCTCTTCTCATACCCCTTTCTCCTCTGTCCTCCCTCTCTTTCCTTCTCCATGTCCTTACTCTCCTCTCTCACCCCATTCTCTTCTTTTCCTCTCCCCTCTTCGTCCCATCTTCTTTCTCTCTATTTACATAGTTCCAAATTTTTAATGTGGTTTGAAAAATAGGTATAGTTGACCATGTCCCACTCTCTTTTCAGTTATTGTGTTAATGACATTTGGAGCAACACTTTTACAGCTTAATTCATCAACATCAGTCGTAGCTAATTGGACCCTCTCACCAGCTGAAATCTTCGTACACACTAAAAGGAATTCCAGCCCAGTGCTCTCATTTAGTGCCCTGCTGCTGCTGCTGCTGCTGCTGCTGCTGCTGCTGCTGCTGTGGCAGCGATACTCAGTTCAAAAACAGTGACAGTCAGCTCCTAACCGGGTTTCTCCTAATCCTCTCCTTCAATTAGAATGCAGGTTACTCCTTTGGACTAACCTCATTGTGCACATCTTATCAATCCAAAAGGCTGATTAATGGTGTGGCTTTAAAGCCGTGGTATTTTTTCCCATCAATAATAGATGCTACTGTCGTATTATTAGAATATTATCTTTTGCATAGTTGTAAGAAAGAGCCCTGAGAGTCACTATTTGACTTGGATTTTTGTGGTTTGAAAAAATTGGGTATCCCAGCTTTATTATCAGGCATAGCAAGTTGTTGATGTTCACCCAGACTGAAAAGTGAAAGAGGCCAAAACTATAGGCTTGTAAACCCATTTAACTAGTTCCTGGTGCCCCATTTCTTTGTGTTTTGAAAGTTGGATACTCAGGCTAACGTCTATTTTTATACAACTAAAAAGCACTCAACAGATGAGGAATTATGTCATGTCATGTTTTATAATGTGAAATAATATATGGTGAAACAATTATGAAGCTTAAAAAAATGCTTTTAGCCTGTAACTCCCTATGCTACCACCAGAGGGAGGAAATACGTTAAATAGAGTTGAGTGTTTATTTATTTCGAATAACAGGAAAAAAATATCAACAGGACTGAGCTATTAGAGAGAAGGGGCAGAGCTACATGTTTGTGGCAAAAGTTCCTGACATTAGCGCGGATGGATCCAAAAACCCTCCAGGTGGATGCAGAGGTCTTTCCTTAGGTGGAGGAGTTCTGGGGAAAGAAGGTTGGAGTGCGTGTCGCTGTATCAGACTGTTGGGGTGAAGAGGGAGCAGCGTCTGCAGTCAGAGCTCTCGATTTACTGGTCAATCTACGTCTCCCTCTCAGGGTTAGTCTGGGAAGGCCTCTGGATGAGCTGGAGGAAATATGTGTGGAGAGGGAAGTCGGGACGTCTTTGCTTCCACAGCTGCCGCATAATAAGTCTTCTTTTCGTTCCGTTTGTAATTGTGTCACAAGTTAAAAAGGGTTTACTGGGAGACTTGGTGTGGGTGCGACCAATGAGACCAATATAAAGGGGGTGAAAAGGGGATACAATTTTATAAAGTATATACAAAAGGAATCCTTTAAAATGGCTTTTAAAAAGTAGAAGTGATAAAACAGTCCACTGGCCCCTGCCGTCCTCGCTGAGCTGGTCCTTATATCGCTGGTGAGACTCCGGGACCGGGCTGCAGTCTCACCAGCGAGAGCGGGCCCATCCCAGCCACGATGTTCCTCATTGGGCCTTAAGCCTCGCGCACACACGCCGTCAATGGGCACACTTAGGCCACATCACCGGTGCCGCTCTCCCCGCTGGCCTCAGTCCCCCGTTGGCTCTGTCTGGCCGCAGTTCTTGCTGGCCCGGTCCCGAGTCCTTTTCCTTCTCTCTTCCTCTTCTTTTTTTCCCTCCTCCTGCTCTGCGTCCTCTGCCCTTTTACCCAGTTCCCCACAGGTGCGCTGATTGCCTGGTGCATGGGGGGAGGAGGGGCCATTGATCATGTAGTTTAAAACCATCCGTTAAAAGCACAGAACATTTAAAAACATTAATCATGCAATAAAAATATATAAAAACCATTTTAAAACGTGGAATTAAAACCTGTGACTCTGACACTTGTTTCCTGGTGTTGCAGGTATGTAACAAGCTGATATTCCTGGTGAGTTTCGTGGGGAACCGCGGCACGTTCACTCGCGGGTACAGAGCTATGGTGCTGGACTTCGAGTTCCTCTACCACCTCATCTACCTCATCATCTGCTGCCTCGGGGTCTTCGGACACGTCTTCTTCTACAGCTTACTGGTGAGAACAGTTTCAACCATTGAGAAAATATTAGGAGTGGACTGACTGAGTGTGATGGCTAACATAGTGTTAGCCTTCATACAGAAGAAGCTAGCTGTAGCCTGTTTCCTTATATGGGCATTGGTTCCGATAGTGTTAGCTTAACGCCGTAACAGCGGCAGACGTGTTGCTTAGACGGTTGCTAAGGCAAGTTGTAGTTTCCCCCCGCGAAGAAAGGAATCTGATTGGTCAATCCTTATGTGGCTCATATCTAGATTTTCAGATACAGAATCAAGATAAAAAACACCAGGATCACAGAGAGTGAAAAGACTGTTTGTATTTAAGGTCAAAATGGTGAGCGTGACACAAACAGTTACTGAGCTAGAGGAATTTACTTTTATATTCCAGCAATAGGAGCCAGAGCGAGTTGGAGCAAAACTTCGTTCATGAACACTTCCCTACGGTGCTAGCATTGTCCATCTGTGTACAGTCTAAGGTTTTGACGCACCTGCGGACTTAAGGCCATATAGTTCAACTCTTCGCTAAAGAGATTATTAATACTTCACTGCAGCACACGTTGCACATCGAGAATGTCCAATTAAAAAGGTTCATATAGATTCATTTAAGTTTACTTTCACACACTTTGAACAATCCAGTCAGTCACATATGAATTATATAATGAAACGAGTCGCTCTGAGCTCTGAAAGCTGTGAAAAACCAATTGCGGGTAGAATTTACGATGTCAGAAATGAGTAATCAAGCGGAGAGCACTTTAATTTCTGAGTGGGATATTTTTTGTGGCGGCTGAGTGGTTAACACTCGCCTCTCAGGTCCAGGGTTCGAATCCCAGTCAAAACAAGGCAATTTTGATAATATTTTTTTATTGAATCAAACACAATAACACAGTTTACAAACATAGACAAACAGAGCCGAAACATTTAGACACAAATTCTATAATCTACAACTTGACTATCCAGAACAAAACCCGACTGGACCCACTACTTTGAATGGTACATCGTAGAGGGCCATTTCTGAGTGGAGTTTGCATGTTCTTCCTGTGTCTGCGTTGGTTTCCTCTTGGTTCTCTGGTTTCCCCTACCACTAAAAACACGTACAATAGTTTTAAACCTGTCAATCTGTTCAAGGTGCATTCATGGACACTGCTTACATTTCCTTATTGGCTTAATTATTGGTGTTGCTGTTGGGTGTGTAGCAATAGGAATTGTAACTGCTGGATTTATAAGGTCATTCACAGAGCCAGCTTTACACGCGTGCATTCATGTATTCATGTAATTAGCTGAACCTGTGGGAATGCAGACTGACTGGATTTTACCGGAGGGAACTGCACTCACCAGGAATCAGACCTTCAGGTCTTTTTATAGCATTTTGGAGCCAAACCTTTTGCCGCCTCAATGTTTCCCAAATAATTGTGCGTGCTTGAGTGGACAATAGAAAGCCTAAAGCTATACCCATTTCTGCAAGGTTTGAATGTTTAGCACCGCCCCCCAACTCGCTCACAGGCTTCTCATTTCTCCTACGCTCTCATTCCACGGAGCCATCTAGTTTTATTTGCGATCTGATACATATGCAAACATTAGCATTAGCGCAACTAAGGCTGCACAACTTTCACTGATGAAATGGTACAAAAGCAACACACTGCTAACAAAATATAACTGAAAGATTACCGCTAGTTCCGTGTCCGAATGTAGTCCGAGCATAGATAGTCTGAGCACAGATAGTCTGAGGCGGTCCCGCAGGTCTCTACCATAAACGAGTCTCTCCAGAGGATACGATGTAAGCTAGCTACAGTGCCTTGCGAAAGTATTCGGCACATTTCAGGCTTCATAAAGATATAACATTTTAATTTTTTGTCATGAATCAACAACAAGTGGGACACAATCGTGAAGTGGAACAAAATTTATTGGATAATTTAAACTTTTTTTACAAATAAAAAACTGAAAAGTGAGGCGTGCAATATTATTCGGCCCCTTTACTTTCAGTGCAGCAAACTCACTCCAGAAGTTCAGTGAGGATCTTTGAATGATCCAATGTTGTCCTAAATGACTGATGATGATAAATAGAATGCACCTGTGTGTAATCAAGTCTCTGTATAAATGCACCTGCTCTTTGATAGTCTCAGGGTTCTGTTTAAAGCACAGAGAGAACCATGAAGACAAAGAAACACACCAGGCAGGTCCGAGATACTGTTGTGGAGAAGTTTAAAGCCGGATTTGGATACTAAAAGATTTCCCAAGCTTTAAACATCTCAAGGAGCACTGTGCAAGCAATTATATTGAAATGGAAGGAGTATCAGACCACTGCAAATCTACCAAGACCCGGCCGTCCCTCCAAACTTTCATCTCAAACAAGGAGAAGACTGATCAGAGATGCAGCCAAGAGGCCCATGATCACTCTGGATGAACTGCAGATAACTACAGCTGAGGTGGGAGAGTCTGTCCATAGGACAACAATCAGTCGTGCACTGCACAAATCTGGCCTTTATGGAAGAGTGGCAAGAAGAAAGCCATTTCTCAAAGATATCCATAAAAAGTCGCGTTTAAAGTTTGCCACAAGCCACCTGGGAGACACACCAAACATGTGGAAGAAGGTGCTCTGGTCAGATGAAACCAAAATCAAACTTTTTTGCCACAATGCAAAACGATCTGTTTGGCGTAAAAGCAACACAGCTCATCACCCTGAACACACCATCCCCACTGTCAAACATGGTGGTGGCAGCATCATGCTTTGGGCCTGCTTTTCTTCAGCAGAGACGGGGAAGATGGCTAAAATTGATGGGAAGATGGATGGCGCCAAATACAGGACCATTCTGGAAGAAAACCTGTTGGAGTCTGCAAAAGACCTGAGACTGGGACGGAGATTTATCTTCCAACAGGACAATGATCCAAAACATAAAGCCAAATCTACAATGGAATGGTTCACAAATAGACGTATCCAGGTGTTAGAATGGCCAAGTCAAAGTCCAGACCTGAATCCAATCGAGAATCTGTGGAAAGATGTGAAGACTGCTGTTCACAAACGCTCTCCATCCAACCTCACTGAGCTCGAGCTGTTTAGCAAGTAAGAATGGGCAAGAATTCCAGTCTCTCGATGTGCAAAACTGATAGAGACATACCCCAAGCGACTTGCAGCTGTAATTGCAGCAAAAGGTGGCGCTACAAAGCATTAGCGCAAGGGAGCCGAATAATATTGCACGCCCCACTTTTCAGTTTTTTATTTGTTAAAAAAGTTTAAATTATCCAATACATTTTGTTCCACTTCACGATTGTGTCCCACTTGTTGTTAATTTTTGACAAAAAATTTAATTTTTATATCTTTATGATTGAAGCCTGAAATGTGGCGAAATGTTGAAAGGTTCAAGGGGGCCGAATACTTTCGCAAGGCACTGTATGTTCACCCTTGATTGATTTCTTCTTTGATAATTTTTTCGCTTTAGTTCCCCATTCTCTTCCTCACTGATGTGTCGTTTGGGCTATTTTGCTGTGTATGCAGTTACAGCAAGAGGAGTTATAGCCAATTCTGCTAACATGCTCCTGTGTTTAGCAGCGCTGTAGAGGCTAGAGGACGCAGCCTCGTTCTGTGATTGGAGGAGAGCTAGCGTCACGCCAAGTTTCTACGGCCTGAATTCATACACAGCTGAATCAATGAGCTCAAGTTTTAAATTAAATTACAGATTATAATTCATCTTGTATGTAGTAATAAGCATTTTTATGAACTAATTAGAAAATAAACCGGGGATAGCATCTTTAATATAAATTGTACCTACATAGCAGTACATTCAAATTGATCATAATACTGTTTTATCACATAATTGTTTAGTTTCTTGCATGTTTCAATTTCAATTTATTTCTGTATTGCCCTGAATTACAACAGCAGTCATCTCAAAAGACCAAGTTGACAAAGTTGTCGATTCGCGAGCAACAGAAAATGCAATAATAACAAACACATTGGAGCCATTAGAACGGGATGATCATTGTGTGTTTGGGCCTTGGTCTTCTTGTCTGGGTCTTTGGTGTTGAATGAGTAAGATTTTAGGGTTGGAGCCAAATCTGCTGTAATTGTTTGATATTTAAGGCGACTTTGAGTGTCCAGAAAGGCACCTAAGAAATAAAATGTATTATTATTATCATTATTAATAAACGTCTACTTCGTCCAACCCCTTTTCAAACTATGCGTTGCTGTTATTTTGTATCCTGTTTATTGTTTTATCTTGTGTTCAGTAAATCCAAACCTCACTCACGTTCCTTTCTTTTTTCTCCTCCTCGTCCTCCTTCCGCGGTTGTACTCTGGCGGCAGTTGTTCGACCTGGTGTACCGCGAGGAGACTCTGCTGAACGTGATCAAAAGTGTGACTCGTAACGGCCGCTCCATCGTGCTGACCGCCGTCCTGGCCCTCATCCTCGTCTACCTCTTCTCCATCGTGGGCTACATCTTCTTCAAAGACGACTTCATCCTCGAGGTGGACCGGCTTCCCAACACCACTCTGAGTAAGGCCCCAGCTGATCCAGGACTGAGGCTGTAGATCCAGGTCTGAGGCTGTGGGTCCAGGACTGAGACTGTAGATCCAGGTCTGAGACTGTAGATCCAGGTCTGAGACTGTAGATCCAGGACTGAGGCTGTAGATCCAGGACTGAGGCTGTAGATCCAGGACTGAGACTGTAGATCCAGGTCTGAGACTGTAGATCCAGGATTGAGGCTGTAGATCCAGGTCTGAGACTGTAGATCCAGGATTGAGGCTGTAGATCCAGGACTGAGACTGTAGATCCAGGTCTGAGACTGTAGATCCAGGTCTGAGACTGTAGATCCAGGTCTGAGACTGTAGATCCAGGACTGAGACTGTAGATCCAGGACTGAGGCTGTAGATCCAGGACTGAGACTGTAGATCCAAGTCTGAGACTGTAGATCCAGGACTGAGGCTGTAGATCCAGGTCTGAGACTGTAGATCCAGGATTGAGGCTGTAGATCCAGGACTGAGACTGTAGATCCAGGTCTGAGACTGTAGATCCAGGTCTGAGACTGTAGATCCAGGACTGAGGCTGTAGATCCAGGTCTGAGGCTGTAGATCCAGGATTGAGGCTGTAGATCCAGGACTGAGACTGTAGATCCAGGTCTGAGACTGTAGATCCAGGTCTGAGACTGTAGATCCAGGTCTGAGACTGTAGATCCAGGACTGAGACTGTAGATCCAGGTCTGAGACTGTAGATCCAGGTCTGAGACTGTAGATCCAGGTCTGAGACTGTAGATCCAGGTCTGAGGCTGTAGATCCAGGTCTGAGACTGTAGATCCAGGTCTGAGACTGTAGATCCAGGACTGAGACTGTAGATCCAAGACTGAGGCTGTAAATCCAGGTCTGAGACTGTAGATGATTTACTTGTGTTTTGGATCTCAATGGTAACTGGGCATTCCTGATTCAAAATGTTATATTTTCAAATGTAGTTACAGCATGACAAATCCTCAGACATGTCTAGGACTAGGACAAGTTTTCTTATTTAGTTTTGGGATTATCTTAAATAGATAGATAGATACTTTAGTTACTTTAAATTGTATTATTTACAAAGGCTGACACTCATATATATTTCTATTTTGTGTTGTTTGCAGAGAGCGGTGGCAGTCTGACCGGCGAGTTTATTTCCGGAGGGATGTGTCCTGGTGGTGGAGAGGGGAACTGCACCAGTGGACAGTTACAAGAAACTGGTAAGAAATAGACTAAGAACTATTAAAGCCCTCTTAACACTAGGGCTCCCAACATTCTAAAGCTACTAGAACTCCGTGAATAATGAAAGGTTTTCCACCAGTACCGTTAGCAAGTAAACAGTGTGCTGCTATGGTAACTATCACTTGAGCTTCTATGGTGGAAAACCAAGCTGACTCAACCCTGAACTTCTGCTGAAACATGTGAGGCCTGTTGGACTTAGCGAGTTTAGAAAATCAAAAGTAAAAAACAGGTTAGATTGTAACAACATGGTGGTGCATTTTTCCTTCATTTTGATCTCTTTCTTATTGAGAGATGTGATAGTAGCATGAAGGCCTGAGGATAACACAGAGGACATGCTTTTATGGATCATCAATTAGTGAAAACCTGAAACATAAACCGAGGGATTGACTTTGAAGCTGGGGTACCTAATTTTTTAAAACCACAAAAATGGAACAATCTAATAAAAGCTATGTCACCCGTTCCTCGCTCTCAAAACAGCTGGCCGCTAGCACTAGTTTTCTCAAGAATGTTTGGCCTTTTTCAAGCAGAAAAGTGAAACAGAAAGGTCCACCCTCACTCAGCCAATCAGCTCTCAGCTCTTTCTTACACTAAATATAAAGTTTTCTAGACAGCATGTAGTGGTCTGATTTATTCACACCATTTTACTTTCACAAGACTCTTTATGTTGGGACAAACACAATGTACTATTTATGAAAAAAGGGAAAAAGCTAAATCTTTACGTAATCTCTAGCTTCATCCGCCGTCCGAGCGGAGCCTGCAGGTCCTTGGTAGCAGAGAGAAAAGTGGCAGGACTGGATTGGTTTTGTTTCTTTTATCTATGCAAAAAACATAGGGGCATAGCTAATGATGCATTTTTCGCTGTAACACGATGCAAATTGGGTGTAAAACAGGACATGGGAGAGCGCACAATAAGTCATTCAAAGTGCTCGTGCAAAAAACAGGGAAGTTGTTGAAGTATTATTAGAACACAGACCGTTGCTATTGCCACTAAAGCCCTGAGGAGAACTGGCCACCGGCTCACACAGTTCAGACTCGTGGTATGTTTTTTTTCCACATCCCGTGACCGTTTTTTCTGAATTCTATCGCGTCACATTGACCTAGAAACATATCGCGATGGATTGAGACGAAGCGAGTGGGTGCTGTCCTTGTGAACGCACTACAAACCCAAACAAGGTGATAGTGCCAGAGCTTGGGAAACGTTCTGATGACGGCACAGGAAGAAGACACACACACGCAAACACACACCCACACACACGCACACACACACGCACGCACGCACGCACGCACACACTCACACACAATGTCCATCTTTATTTTTATTTTCCCCATTGGTGCACCTTTGGTTTTGCCATAAAAACTTTTGCCCTGGCCTTTTTTGCCTTTTTATGGTCTTTAAAATCTTAAAATTACATCTCAGATCTCTAATATCTTTTCTTCAATTCAATTCAACATTTGAGTAAAGTGATAAAGGGAATAAATCACATCAAAATTATTATTATTAGTTAGGTATAATTTGATATAGTATTTTCTAAAAGTGAAGGTCTTTTCTAAAAATGGCTGTGGTTCTCAAACTGACCAGGACCGTCCCTCCAGCGTGGCCTGGGTGTCCTACTCCCAATTGGATATAACTGGAACACATCCCCAGGGAGGCCTCTGGTTGCCTCACCTTTGAAAATGAAGGAGCAGCAGCTGTATTCAGAGCTCCTCCCCAAAGAAGTGCTTTCTAGCCACTCTGAGCACATTTTAACTGCTTGTATTTCCGATCCCACCCATAGATTGAGGGCTTCAAATTGGTCTTGTTTGCCATTCATTTTTTCCAAAAAGACTGTTCCTAAGTCTTGTTTCAACTGTTTATTTCCATAGAATACTGCCGGTGATTGCATTTAACATATTGTGTAAGTTCTGTGTAACTTCCTAACTGACATGGTGTCTCTTTAGTGTCAGAGGCGGAGTTTGAGGCCAGTGACGTGGAGCGCACCTGCGACTCTCTGCTCATGTGCATCGTTACCGTCCTGAGCCACGGCCTGCGCAGCGGGGGTGGGGTGGGCGACGTGCTGAGGAAGCCCTCCAAACAGGTGAGAGAACCCCCACAGAAAGACATTTAAAACAGGTGAGAGAACCCCCATATAGACAGCCCTCAAAATAGGTTGGAAATGTTGATGTTTCAGAATCAGAATCAGCCTCTCTTTTGAATGCAAAGCCCTTCTACAGCACTTTCTACACCTGTGCGAGTATGGGCAGTATAAAGGTATAGAAGATGCTAACTCGCTAGCTCTATGAAGCCCAACAGGGAAGTGCTCATGGTTAAGCTTTTCTCCTACTATCTTCGGCTCTAATTCAGTAAGTAAAACCCTTCTATACCTGTAGCTGTTTGTGTCACATTCACCATTTTGTAGTTTTAAAATAATATTACCGACCAATCAGGAGCCTTCTGTGTCCAAAATCGGCTTCAGCTAGCAACCAGTGCGAGCGGGGACAGAGCAGACGGCTTCTGATTGGCTCATTAGTTACTATGTTGTTGATGCGTACGAATCTGGCTCCAGATTATTGTTCATGGAGCCTGTTTGTGTTAGCTCTAATCAACTCCTTCCACAATAAGAAAAACATTATGGGTGACATCAGCACTTGTCTCTGGGACAAATCCATTAGAATCAGTTTGTCCCATAGCCGTATAGTAGGAGCGGACTGCCAGAGTGTGACGTCACCATAGTGTTAGCCTTCATGCGGAAGAAGCCACAGAACATAAGCTAGCTGGAACCTGTTTCCGTATATGGGTATAAGAGCTTTAGGCCAAACATGATTCTTCTTTACATTTTTTCAGTTTAGATTAGATTCAACTTTATTGTCATTACAAAGTCAGAACAATGCAACGAAATGCAGTTTATAAAGACATTATCTAAATAGAAGCAGCAGTATCAAAGAAAGCGCTAAACAGTCATTTTTTTCAAGCCCAATAAGGTTCAGGAGTTTACTTTTGAATATAAGTCAATAGGAACCAGAGCGAGTTGGAGCCAAACTTCATCCATGAGCACTTCCCTTCTGGACATCATTTTCAGCATGTGAAAAATCCCCCTCCAAACGCTCCCTGAACGTGTCACTCCTCACGAGCTGCTAAGAGCGTCTAATGTGAGCTGGACCTGAGCCAATGCAGCCATAACGTTTCACAATGTCCACAAAACGCTCTAATCCCGTTTCCACTGAACTGCTGCTGTCGGAGGGGGATGTGAGTCAAAGGCTGGACACTTTTCTAGAGAAAGTGGTAAAACTGCTGCCTTATCTGGGCTTCCCCCGTTTTTCAAGTTGCGGGAAAGAAACAAAGGGCGTTTAAAGAGTCATGCTCCAAGAACTGTGGATCGGGGAGGAATGTATTCAATGAAATCAAAGTTGGATTATAATAGAATTTTGTCCTTTGAGTGTTGAGGCGGCACACAATTCACGATTGCCAAAACTCAAATTATTTTAGTTCTTTGCAAATAAAAAATCCTTTTGGATTAGGAACATTTCTTATGATTTCAGTTTGTTTTGAAGCCACTCTCTGGTTTCTCTCTAGTCTCAACCCCTGGCCGCACTCTCTTTCTCTGGTCTCTCTCTCTGGCCTCTCGCTCTCTCTGGCCTCTCGCTCTCTCTGGCCTCTCGCTCTCTCTGGCCTCCCTCTCTCTCTGGTCTCTCTCTTTCTGGTCTCTCTCTCTCTGGTCTCTCTCAAGTCTCTCTGTCTCTATCTCTCTGGTCTCTCTCTCTCTGGTCTCTATCTCTCTGGTCTCTATCTCTCTGGTCTCTCTCTCTCTGGTCTCTCTCTCTCTGGTCTCTATCTCTCTGGTCTCTCTCTCTCTGGTCTCTCTCAAGTCTCTCTGTCTCTATCTCTCTGGTCTCTCTCTCTCTGGTCTCTATCTCTCTGGTCTCTATCTCTCTGGTCTCTCTCTCTCTGGTCTCTCTCTCTCTGGTCTCTATCTCTCTGGTCTCTATCTCTCTGGTCTCTCTCTCTCTGGTCTCTCTCTCTCTCTGGTCTCTCTCTCTCTGGTCTCTATCTCTCTGTCTCTATCTCTCTGGTCTCTCTCTCTCTGGTCTCTCTCTAGTCCCTCTCTCTCTAGTCTCTCTCTCTCTCTCTGGTTTCTCTCGCTAGTCTCTCTCTCTGGTCTCTCGTTAGACTTTCTCTGTCTCTGATGTCCCTCTTGCTCTCTCTCTAGTCTCTCTCACTCTGGCCTCTCTCTGGTTTCTTATATATTTTCATCAGCTTGCTCTCAGCTGTCCCTATTCAAATAAACTGATAATACAAAAATGTAATAATCTGCCAAAACCCAAAATGATGAGTGTGACACAAACAGTTACTGAGGAGTTCACTTACAGTATAACATGTAAGTCAATAGGAGCCAGAGCGAGTTGGACTAAAACTTCACCACTAGGAAAATCCCTATTGGGCTTCACTGAGATAGACTGTATACAGATGGATAATGCTAACATGCTATGTTTCAACCCTATATTTACACGTTTTCAAACCTCCAGATCATGTGTGGCTGTTTCTGTAGCAGCAGGTCACAGACGCTCATCTCCAATTCTCATTAATATCCATGAGGCGACCTGGTTTAAGATTCATAACATCGACTCCAAACACGCTTGCGTAAACAGCCCCTGTCCTGAGGCTCACGCATTTGGGACACGACCCTAGACTGTTCACATGCGGACCATGCTAACCCGCTAGCTCAATGTAGCCCAATGAGGAAGTGCTCATGGACAAAGCTTTGCTCCACCTCTCTCTCTAGCTCCTGTTGACTTGCATGTAAAAGTATACTCCTCAGTAACCAGATCCATGGTTTAGTGCTCTCTGTGATCCTGGGGTATTCATTGGGATATTGTCTTTGTAAATCCAGGTGTGAGCATCCTTATTGGAAATTGGCTCCAGCTAGCTTATGCTAAAATCGGCCTCTTCTTCATTAAGGGTAACACTATGACAAGGGTCTCCAAACTCTTTCAATCGGAGAACAATTTTTATACAAAAGAATAGACAGAGAGCTACTAGTTTTTGAAGTAATAGAAAATCATCCAAATAATTACGACAAAACACGGAGAACACGGAGAATGTGTGAACTGGGTGGCATCTCTGGCCACCCCCCCGACCCAGAAATGGATTAAGGGGTAGAAAATGGATGGATGGATGCATGGACGTAGACACATGTAAAATATACCATAATACTGTATAACCCTATGTTTATACTTAATAGATACTGTATGTATTGACTCAAAATGTATGAATTCAAGATCATTTGTAAAATTATAAATCCTCTGGTGAGCTACCTGCAGGGGCTGGCGAGCTACTGATTGCTCCTGAGCCACAGGTTGGAGACCCCTGCACTATGGTGACATCACACTTGGTCAGTCCATTCCTAATATACGGTTTATCAGTTAATATGGACTTCTTAACTTTTTAACAATCTTTTCTGGGTTCAATTATATCAGGAGCAATGCCGGTCTGTTTCCACTCCAGCTCTTTGGTAACTGAAGACAAGATTGGAGATAGAATGGACCTGATTAGTTGGATATTACTGGTTTTGTCTTGATATAAAAAGATAACGTCAGGTTTGTCAGACTCACAAATCTGGGCTTCATTTAAAGGCGTTCCATGAAGCTTCATGTAACGCATTTACATGAGGCCCAGATTTGTGAATTTGACAAAGAATAAGGCAAGGGAAATGCATTTGTATTCCAGAGTTCATACATAAGGAAACTCAAAGTGCTTAACAAAACAAGGTAGAAACAAAATCACACAAAATCACAACATCATACATTTCAGGCGGTTCTGGACTTTAAAATGAGTCCATATTGATTCACACCACAGCTACATTAGTGCCATAAATGTACAAAAAGATTCCATAGGTTTCCGAGCTTTCCAACAAGGCACAGCATCGTGACTATAGAGGTGGAGCTGAAGTTGGCTGAATGACCGTGAAAATACTGTTGATTCGAATGACTGCTTTTTTAACACTTTTAACACAGTTGCTGTGTGTTAGAGGCAGAGGGCCATAGAAAAACTCAACTCAACACTTTTTATTTTTGTGTATTCCTAAATCACCACAGCAGTCACCACGGAGGACTTTAGAAAATTGTTGATTTTCCGACACAGATCAGAAAATCAAATGGTTCAAACACAGGAAATGCAACAATAGAAACACAAAGAACCATTGATCCATATGGGGCAAATGACCCTAAAAGATGATAAATGTCCTGGATCATCCTGACTGTCCTTAGACCCTACTGTATTGGGAACAAAGGACAAAAAAAACCCAGCTGGGAAAAGTCCAGCACTCAGATTGTAGAACGAGGACTGACTGAGGCAATGCAGGATTCAGGGGTCCCATTTTCACACTACGAAACAGACAATTGGACAGTGGGTGAATAGCATTGAACAGACTACAACTGAAGTCGTAACCATGATAAAGTAGGAGAGAGTAGAGCTCCATACTTCTCCAGCCTCAGTTCTTCAGAAACGCGGTGACTTGTTTGACTTGGCGTGTCGGTGTGTTGCAGGAGCCTCTGTTCGCGGCTCGCGTGGTGTACGACCTGCTCTTCTTCTTCATGGTCATCATCATCGTCCTGAACCTGATCTTTGGCGTCATCATCGACACCTTTGCCGACCTCAGGAGCGAGAAGCAGAAGAAAGAAGAAGTGCTGAAGACCACCTGCTTCATCTGTGGTCAGTGCAGACGACTCGCGGTGCTCTGGTTACTACACAGTTACACATTTCAAACGCTGGTCTAAAATGTGCTCGAACTATGATATAACCAGCCAATTGTGCCAAAATGCCTACTTCCACAGATGCATACTAGCTACAGTTGTAAGTCTTGCGAAGCGTCGGTAATCGGCTGAGATTTGATCAATTATTGCTGATTATTGCAAACACTTAATTTTAGCCCGAATCAGTAGAATCACTGTAGAATCAAATCACATTTGAAAACTAACAGGAACAATTTCAGTTTCATTAAAAGTAAATCATTTATAAGGTTTTTACCCTTATTTGCTTTTACAAAGTTTCAAAACTGGTTAATATAACTGAAATAAATCAAATTAATGTAATTGTCAAAATGACTGCTCTAGGAGTACATTTAGAAACAGAATAAGTAACTTGGTTCAGAATACCAAAAATGTTCATAAGCTGAGTAATAACACTCTCAGAGCAGTCCATTTGTGAGTTCTAATGTTAAATGTATAATTTATGGAAAAATAAAATTGACATAAATATGTTTACACGGCCAATCAAAATCCTGAACCTGTCAATCGCCCACAATCCCCTGACTCTAACACACGTATGGGAGGTGTTTGGTTATGTCACCGCTCTCGCTGCACGGGGGCCACAGCTGGAGGGGCCGTTGCCCTGGTTACGCTGTTACACGGATTACCGCGGGCTTAAGTGGCCCCTCCATCTCCCCGTGTGCTGCAGACAACACACGAGAGGGAACATACTCCTTAATGACAGCTTCTAAAGCAGGTCCTGGCTTCAGAACAAGACTAATGTAAGTGCTGACTCGAGAATCGAAATCAGTGGAATGATTAGAGAAAAATGCTTTTGAAAGACAAAGCGCACAAATAATACATCAGCAAATAAAGCAAATAGATGGGATTGGATTTCAGTATTTCAGCCGGTGCCAAAACAACTCGATGAGAAAGAAGTCCAGAGAGAGACCAAAGAGAGAGACCAGAAAGAGACCAAAAAGAGGGAGGCCAGAGAGAGAGACAAGAGAGAAAGAACAGTGAGAAAGACCAGAGAGAGAGACCAGAAAGAGACCAGAGAGAGAGACCAGAAAGAGACCAGAGAGAGGGACCAGAGAGAGAGAGAGAGAGATCAGAGAGAGAGACAAAACAGAGAGCGAGACCAGAGAGCGAGACCAGAGAGCGAGACCAGAGAGCGAGACCAGAGAGCGAGACCAGAGAGCGAGACCAGAGAGCGAGACCAGAGAGCGAGACCAGAGAGCGAGACCAGACATGTATTTGATACGTGCTGACAAAAATGTAGAACTTTTAGACCGTTTTTTAAAAATGTGGATAGATCCAGGAATTGCAGAGAATACCACGTTCCCAGCAGGATAAGTCAAAATATTGGAAATGTATTTACTTAAAACTGTTGGCTCTTTGGAACGTTGTGATGTCACATGAACGCAGAGCCGTGTTTTCCAGGTTTGGAACGAGACAAGTTCGACAATAAAACGGTGACTTTTGAGGAGCACATCAAGGAGGAGCACAACATGTGGCACTACCTGTTCTTCATCGTCCTGGTGAAAGTGAAGGACTCCACCGAATACACCGGGCCCGAGAGCTACGTGGCCGAGATGATCAAGGTGAGGGAGCTACCAAAGCGCTGAATTAAAGCTGGGGTATCCAACTTTTTTCCCCCATAAAATACTGAGGGCTGATTGGCTGAGTGAGGGTGGTCGTCTCTGTCTCGAACTCAAAACTGTTTGCTTCAGTCACTAGTTTTCATGTTTTTGTTGGTGTCTGTCGCATCAGCCAATCAGCTCTCAGCTCAAAGGGTCAAATAGTGACACTTTCTTGTACAAAGTTAAAAGGCAAAGACAGAACAACATTTGACTTTAACAAGACTATGATTTCTGTTGCAACAAAAGAACATATATTTAACATATATATGGAAAGGAAAAGGTTAGGTACCCCAGCTTTAATTTTGGTCAAGTGCAATGAACATGAGGCTAGGCTTTTGTGTCCACGAGTGTATATGGACATAAAAGGAAAACATCTTCAATTTACCCTTTTCCCAAAAAATCCAAAAATCTATTTTAAATCTATTTTAGTGCCATACAAATAAAGTTTCATGCCTTTTTGATCAAATTCAGTTTTGAACAGATATCTTGCAATCTTATTTGCAAAGAAACTCTCATTCTGGTCCCTCTCTCTTTGGTCTCTTTCTCTATTCGCTTTCTCTGTTCTCTCTCTGATCTGTTTCAGGTCTCTCTCTAGTCTCTCTCTAGTCTCTCTCTGGTCTCTCTCTGGTCTCTCCATCTCTGGTCCCTCTCTGGTCTCTCTCTGGTCCCTCTCTGGTCCCTCTCTGATCTCTCTCTGGTCCCTCTCTCTGGTCTCTCTCTGGTCCCTCTCTGGTCTCTCTCTGGCCCCTCTCTGATCTCTCTCTGGCCCCTCTCTGATCTCTCTCTGATCTCTCTCTGGCCCCTCTCTGATCTCTCTCTGGTCTCTCTCTCTGGTCCCTCTCTGGTCTCTCTCTGGTCTCTCTGGTCCCTCTCTGGCCCCTCTCTGGACTCTCTCTGGTCTGTCTCTGGTCTGTCTCTGGTCTGTCTCTCTCTGGTCTCTCTCTGGTCTCTCTCTGGTCTCTCTCTGGTCTCTTTCTGGTCTCTTTCTGGAGTCTCTCTGGTCTCTCTTTGGTCTCTCTCTGGTCTCTCTCTGGTCTCTTTCTGGAGTCTCTCGGGTCTCTCTCTGGTCTCTCTCTGGTCTCTCTCTGGTCTCTTACTCTGGTCTCTCTCTGGTGTCTCTCTGGTCTCTCTCTCAGTTCAATTGTACCTGCTTGCTTCTAACGTGCCGATTAGTTCTCCACTAAAGAGAAAAATGTATTTGAAGAGTGAGGCCTTCAGTGCAAGACGGACTGTGACCTATGGGCCTTCATCCCCACTGCGGTCAGACTGTACAATAAGTCACTTACAATAAGTCACGACCTGCACGAGGACTGTAACTTTGCACTTTTTAACACCTGTTTGAGCGATCCTATTGAAGCCAAATGTAACATTTAAACTATTCCACTTTGAGATCAATAAAATTGTATCTATAAAGTCCTCTCGTCTATACATTCATGTATACGGTTGTTCTTTGTGAATGATCGGAAACGTGTCTGTTTATTATGGCTGTAGACCGATTGTAACTCCTCAAAACATCAGCCCACACAACAGTCATCTGATTTCAAAAGAGCATCCACTTTTCCTGGTAAACGCTTGTGAAAGCCTCTCACCTACCATGAACATGTGTTAGTCACTTTTCTCCAAATTGTACAAAAAACAAACGGTGCACAATAATAAAAGATGAATGTGTGTTGAACGTGTTCAACATGGACTTCGAACAGCCACATAAAATCAGTTCACCATCTGAACACATTGACAGAATAAAACTATATGGTCTTAGGCAGACTTAGAGATTCTTATCCTGCTTTTGTTTTTGTCGCAACTTCACAACTCTTTGAGTTTCCTTGTGTACGAAGTGTTCATAACTCATCACTGTCCCCTGCCAACGGTAGTTTGGCACTTTACAGCCTCAGCCGCCCCACTGTGGCATCTAGTGTTCCCAGAGGTTAAGTGTCTTGCCAAGGACACAACAACAGCAGACATCAGTAGGAGTTGGTGGAGAAGGTCCTGTGGTGGGCTTGAACCCACGACCTTCAGGCTCAAAGGCTCAGCTCTACCAACTGAACCATTATCACCTCATTATGTTCTATGCCTTATTCTATTTTTACTTGTTTGCACCAAGAGCCAAAGTAATTTCCCAGTTAATGACTTCTTCTTACTCACATGGCAATAACAATAATTGTGATTCAAATAAACCTACTCTCAGTCACTTAGTAACTTGTCCTCTCTGATAACAGGAGCACAACCTGGACTGGTTCCCACGGATGAGGGCCATGTCCCTGGTGAGCAGCGACGCTGAGGGCGAGCAGAATGAGATCCGGAGTCTTCAGGAGAAACTGGAGTCCACCATGAGACTGGTCTGCAACCTGTCGGGACAACTCACCGAGCTCAAAGAACAGGTGCCCACTGTTTACGCAGGGTTCAAGAGGAGCTCTGGGCTTCCGTCGGCTTTATCTGTTTCATTTATGACTCATCTGCACCGGCATTACAAAGTGGGAACATTTTGAAATCTTAAAATCAATCTAAAGACAAAAAAAAATTGATATTTTCTGAATAGCACTGCTTAAGCGGTCATCCCAAACTTTTTTGTTTATTGTGCAACAAACTGCTCGTTCTCGTCTGCTCTGTGCGTGGGAAGTTTGGTCGTTACTCGGATCGATCCGTTGAAAATACAAAGAACACTGATATTCTATGGCTTTACATCTGTGCAAGGCCCAGAAAAGACTCAGTTTGTGCATTCAAATCATAGACTGTTGGACAATGCTAACCCGCTAACTCAGCAAATCGCAATAGGGAAGTGCTCAAGGACGAAGTTTGGCTTCAACTCGCTCTGGCTCCTATTGACTTACATGTAAAAGTTAAACTCTTCTAGCTCAGTAACAGTTTGTGTCACACTCACCATTTGTGGCTTACAAAAAATCTGTGGTTTAGCGCTCTGTGATTTTGATATTGTGTTTGTAAATCACGGTACGAGTCATAAGGGTTGGCCGATCAGATGCCTTTAGTCACGAGGGAAAACCTAGCTTGTCTTAGCAACCATGTTAGCATCACATCTGCCTCGTTTAAAGAAATAAACTCCAGCTAGCTTTACGTTCAAATCGGCTTCTTCCGCATTAAGCCAAACATTATGGGGACTTCAGCGCATGGTTAGTCCATTCCTAATCCACTCAAATAATGTTCATAAAGAAAAGACATGGGAATAAAGAAATAAAAATACAATGCATTACAATCTAGTCAGTCCAAGCAGATCTATAAAGAATGTCAATAAACGTCTTTGCCCACTGCCAGCAGCCAGACAGAGAGTGAGAGGGCTTGACTGATATCCTAATGTTTGTGTTTAGATGACGGAGCAGAGGAAGCAGAAGCAGCGCATCGGACTCCTGGGCCACCCCCCTCACATGAACCACAACGCACAACAACCGGCTTAAACCAACACCACTCAAACTCCACAGTGCCTCCGTCTCACAGCACACACTAATTAATATATGAAGAGACCTTTGAACAATCCTGTTTGTGCCCCTGGAGTTGACCAAGCGCCTTAAGATGACTTTTTACTAATTAAGACAACAAGCCAAAGTTTAACCAAAAAAGCAGTCTTCCTCGTGGCCTTTTGTCCGCCATTTTGTGAATGGTACAATTAACTCAGGTCTGTGGTACGTGATGGAGCTTTGTGGTTTTCAGCTGGTGTCATGGAGACGCTAACGTTTATGTCAGATGTTATGACGTTTATGATTACAACATTAGAACTCCCAGAGCAGTCAATTTGACGGCTTTGGGTGTGCGTGATTAATCAGCGTATGTGCCTCTTTGGTCTTCTGAACATTGTGACTTTTTCTGTATCTATTCGTGGGTTCATTTGTTTGTCATTATTTTCATGAAATTATCTTTATTTTATTTTTTTTAACATGAGTAACTTTATCTCCTTTTATTTCAGTCACTTGGTAACCAACTTTCTATGGCAGTTCTGGACCGGTCCTGGACTGGTTCTGAGTCAAATCAGCTCGCTTTTTTCACCACAGAAGAAAGAGTGCTAGTTACCATAGCAACACACCGCTTACTTGCATCAATTAGCAATAAGCCTTTCAACAAAGGTTTTTTTCTGTAGTATTAGCACTTATTAACGTGAAGGTAAATCACCGTATCAAATACTAATAGTCATATATTACTAATAAATCTGGTGGAAAACTAAACATTTTTGAGGGGATTTTTCAGAATTCCATGGGTTTGATTGAAAGCAGTCAAAATGGCAGATCTGGGAGTTCCAGTGTGATATGTAGCAGTTCTTTTTATCCTTTTAAACCATGTTAAACGTTGTTCCCTTCAAAAACACCCATGTTGCCTTTTCTATCTTCAATTTGAAACAGTTTTGAGTCTAAACTAGTTTTGAGTTTACATTAGAGCATGTTCGCCTGACATCTCATGTTTTCGTCCATCTTGTGCTCAGTAAAAAGCGGAGCTGACAGCTAGCTTATTGTTAGCTTAGCTCCCATTAGCGTCAGTGTTTTGTCTTATTTTCTATTTTTATTGGTGTTAAGTCTCAGAAGTTATTTAGCATAAACATCACACGGCGCACAATGTGTTTTTGGGTGTGTAGGATTTACAAAGTGGTTGAAAAATATATATGCTAATGCTAAAGTCTAATGCTAATGCTAAGGCTAATAATAATTTGTTAGCACTATTGTTTAACACAAACAATGGGGTGGTCTTTGCTTTATACTTATTATAAAGCTTCATTATAATTATGTTTTGTTTATATGTACTTTGGACTTTATTTGGGATGTGCTGACGCTAACTGCGAGCTAACAGTAAGCTAGTCATCAAAAAGATATTTTAGCTTCACAAACATTTCCCATCACCAGTTGAAAACCACAAAATGAATGAAATCATCTGCAATAGGAAACTTGCAATAAATATATAATAGTTTTATATCTAATGATAATAATTCTATTTAATTACATTTTTATTGTTTTGACCGTGGCAGTGTCTAAATGATGAATGTGTCTTTCGTGTGAAGGCTAAATCTAATTTGCCTGGTGTTTTGGAATATTTAAATGTGTTGCGATAAGGTCACGGTAATAAATGTAAAGTATTTTTGGAGCGACACTAAACTAGAATGAAGTTTCTGCACTGAAAAATATTATCTGTATTTAGTTTTGACGCACTGAATGTAGCAGTAGTTTGTGCACTCACAGGTCGACTGGTCAATGTATGTTTGCATTTTTTTATGTTTTATACAGAGATGTGTGAATTGTAAATGGAAATTATTTAAATAAACAAGACTGTAGAAATGTGTGATTGTCATTGGCTTCTAAAACCTTCAAATCAAGTCAGATATCCAGTGATAATAATGGACTCAAATTTTAACAACCACATTAAATCGGTAAAATCACCAGCTTTTTACCATCCAAAAACATGGTCTGAAAAAAAGGCTTTGACAAGACTGGCTTCCTGCTGAGACTCTGAGGAGCACAGGGACTGGCCTCCTGCTGAGACTCTGAGGAGCACAGGGACTGGCCTCCTGCTGAGCCTCTGAGGAGCACAGGGACCGGCCTCCTGCTGAGACTCTGAGGAGCACAGGGACCGGCCTCCTGCTGAGACTCTGAGGAGCACAGGGACCGGCCTCCTGCTGAGACTCTGAGGAGCACAGGGACCGGCCTCCTGCTGAGACTCTGAGGAGCACAGGGACCGGCCTCCTGCTGAGACTCTGAGGAGCACAGGGACCGGCCTCCTGCTGAGACTCTGAGGAGCACAGGGACCGGCCTCCTGCTGGTGCCCAGAGTCAGGACTAAACAAAAGGCAGCATTTCAGATTTATGCAGCTATAATCTGGAACAGTCTTCTTTTCTGACACTGTTCAAATCCAGGTTAAAACATTCATTTTTAGCGGTGCTTACAACTGATGGATTGTGTCTTCACTTGTTTCAATACATTGTAAAACCCAAAATGTAATTTTTGGTCTCGCCCCTCCGTACTTGTCCAAACTTTTGACTGTTCGTGACTCATTGAGGCCCTCAACTCCTCCTGGAAGTACCTAGGACTAGGTCCAAAACCTGGGGAGACCGGTCCTTGGACCCAGACTCTGGAACAAGCTGGACCCTGCCACATGCGTGTCCTCACTGATTTTGGCTTTTTTAAATCGAGGCTTAACACTTATTTATTCAAACTGGCTTTTAACACTTTTATCACTCAATAGCGCTTTGACACTTTTTTAATGCTTTTTAACTGTTTTATTGTTTTAAGGCATACATGTTTTAATGGATTTTATGTAATTTTATTGTGAAGCACTTTGGTCGCCTTGAATGTTGTAAAGGGCTCTATAAATAAAATTGATTGAATACGAAACATCACATTTCACTTGTGCACAAATGAATGCATTAAATCAAGTGTATTATGTCAATAACAATCAAAAACAATTTCCTATTTACAGGTGTTATTAAAGTGCATAAACTGCGTAATGTTTAATCTCATAGAAAATCTGATTACAGCAACCATTATTTCCATGTGTGCATCGTCTAAATCTATGATTTGAATGTCCTTTTTTTCTTATTTAGCTCTTTGAGTTGCTTTGTGTATAACTGTGCTGTACAAATAAACTTGCCTTGCCTTCGCTCGCTCTGTGTTGGCTCTCACTCTGCCTCACGCTCTCTCTTTCTCCCTCTCTCTCTCTCCCCCTCTCTCTCTCTCTTTCTCCCTCTCGCCCTTGTTTCCATACACTCCCCTTCAGCATGGAGGTACACGGGACAACCAGCGCTCCTCCCCCCGCTCTTACGTCACTCCCTCCGCGGCCAATAGCAGCTCTCCTCCGGGGAGGACGGGGCGGAGCTGTGACCGAGGCTCCAGCGAGGTTTAACACGTGAGGCGCATGTGACGGCGGTAGGTCAGAGCGCGCGCAGACACCGGACAGTTATTACCCCCAAAAAAACTGCAAGAGGCACTTTGAAGACTCACCACCGCCACATCCTCCCCGCGGATAATGCCACATTTCTTCGACAGGTCTTGGATGTTTTTGTGCGCGTTGTAGCCCTCGCACTGCCAACTTTTGGAGTTCATCCCCACAGCCTTTTTTCTTGCAACTTTTGACGTGCGTAATTTGTGCGTAAAATGGATAGGATCGCGCAGCCGCCTCCACCGCCTCTGTCCAAGCACCACTCGGAATTATCAGACATGCAAGGGTAAGCGGCAGTTTTGACAGATTTTTTAAATGTGTTTGCTCCAAAAAAAGCGTATTATTACATATTTATAATCATATTTCTGCATTTTTAGGATGGATTACCCAATGTACGTGTACAAACCCAGGCGCGGCATGAAAAGGGGCGAAGAAAGCAAGGTTGGTATTGCGTTGTTTCTCCACGTAGGCTGTTGATAAGCCAAACCGTGTTGACTTACCCGTTGGCAGCTCCATAAATGGCTGACCTAATTCCTCTTATATGACATAACAGCCCTGGCTCCCTCCTCCCGGGAAGTAACCAAATACAAGGACCAAAAAAAAAAAACGCGCTTAGAATAGTAATGTGTAATGTGGAGTAGTTCTGTATCCAGGTCTCTGCTTTCTCACAATCTAATGAATGTGCAATAGTATTTTATCACACATTTGTTGATTTAATGGTCTAAGAAGCTCTATGAATGACGCGTGCAATTCCCTTCAGGGTTAATCAGCAACACATTAAAGCTGGGCGACCTAAAGTTGTTTGTCGCAACAGAAACAGTTTAGTATGAAATAAAATGTTATGGACAATTCAAGCCACAACAAGCATTTTTTTATTATTATGTGTTATATTTTGCGTATGATTACATAGTTGCATGCATTGGGGTTTGAAAGTTAGTATACCAGCTTTAAACAGACGTGCAAAATGTCTTCTGTAACTCAATCCACTCAACAGTTGTCTTTCCTCTGTGTTATTTTTGTATCCAGGACACGTACAAGCTGCCTCACAGACTCATAGAGAAGAAGAGACGTGACCGCATCAATGAATGCATCGCGCAGTTAAAGGATCTGCTTCCTGAGCACTTAAAACTCACGGTAAGAGGATTTTTGTCCGCGTGGGAATAGAATAGAGCAGTGTGAAGCGCCCCGGTGTGGTCGCGAACTGTTACTGCAGCGGTCTCTTGTGCGTCAGTCAATGAGAGCCGGAGTGGGCGTGGTGTTTTAACAGTCTGAGTTAGTAAGAATAAGAGAAATTGTGGGTTAGGATTGCAATATGTTGATTTTAAGAATAATTTTATCTCAAAATTAAAAGAATATGCCACAGAGCTTCAGTTCAAATGCATGATAGAAATTATTAATCCCAAAATTAAGATTAATAGATACTTTATTTGTCTTTATATTCAGTTTTGCAAGTTACAGAACATGAATGAGGAGCACTCAATACAAATACTCCAAATCAATATTAAAACACTAACATTTGCAAGTGGATGGATTTGGCAATGGAGGGAAAAAATTAGTTTCAGAATTAACTGTAGTTCTATGAGTTGATGCTTAGTCATTTAGATCTGATTTTCTCAACAGAAAAACTATAAATCAGGCCGAGTACAAGTTTTGCACAATGCGTTACATAATAATAAGTGGGTCTAAACTCTGTCTGATGATTTACTGCTGCTTGAGTGAACTGAGTCTGACCTGCATACATGTTGGCGGCAATACTTAATACTTGAGAACGATTGCATAATAATAATAATGGTTTTATTTCTTTAAAGATAAGAAAATAGGTCAACCATGACATTGTCGTTTTTGAAGAACCGACTGTTGCGTAAAAATTGGCACTGTTTAAAAGCGATTAAAAATTGAAATGTTTCCCTATCTCAAACTAGGAAAAGTAGAAAACTAGTAACCTTGCAAATAGACTATAGCCTCGTTTCCACCAGAGCCAAGCAGAGCAGAGTAGAGCCGAGCCAAGAAGGGTTGGTTGAAACAGGTTTTAGGGTGGTCTGCCGGATGCTGAGAATGCATTTTCTCTGTGTGTTTCAGACTCTAGGACACCTGGAGAAGGCCGTGGTGCTGGAGTTGACGCTGAAGCACGTGAAGACGCTCTCCACGTTGCTCGAACAGCAGCAGCAGAAGATCCTGGCCCTTCAGAACGGCCTGCAGATCGGTAAGAGAACATGCAAACGGCACCCTAAAATAAATTTGCGCTCTGGTCCGATTTAAGCCTTTTTAGTGTTCAATTTCTTCAGTCGAGCCAAAATGCCTGTGATGCTGCCAAATCAATGTCCGATCAAATGTTATGAAATAATTTGGAGTAGTTAAATGAAAAGGAGACACAATGCTAATTTGAAAAAGTAATATGAATATGTACACAATTATTTCGCTTTGGTCATGGCCAGAGCAGTTTTCTACGAAGTATTGCCTCAAAATTCAGAAATTAAAATCGGTCAGAATGTAATATCACTTTTTAATAAGAATAAGAAATTGCTCAGAAGTGTTTTGGTTCTTCTGGAAAACACAAGACAGAAGAAATGAGTTAATTTAGCCAAATATTCTCAAGCTGATGTTAAATGGCTGAAATGCGTGAAGTTTACTAAAGTCGTTGTATTGTTTTTGTTCACAGAGCAGCCGGACATGAGCCAGGAGAAATCCGAGGAGATGTTTCGCTCTGGGTTCCACGTGTGCGCCAAAGAAGTGCTCCAGTACATCGCCAACCACGAACAATCGCGCGACTTCACCCTGTCCCACGTCATCACCCACCTTCACAAAGTGGCCTCCGAGGTCCTGCAACCGCCCACCCCTGCCCCCGCCAACACCGCCGCCAGCCCGGAGCCACGAGACCTCACGCAGCACGCCGACGTCTCCCCGCGCGAAGACACCACTCACCCGCGCCTCAGCCCGACCCCGAAGGCTACAGCGAAAAACTGCGTCTCCGTCATCCAGAGGGCGTACACGGCTCAGGGCGGCGAGCAGAGCGGGAGCGACACAGACACGGATAGCGGCTACGGCGGCGACGCATCGGAAAAAGGCGAAAACGGCGCGCAGACGGCTCGTCCCGATTATTACAATCATTTAAAGCGCGACCGGCAAAGCTCCCCGGTCAAGATTGAAGACGAAGTCCCAAGACACAAGCGGCAGAGAGCGGAGTCGAGCGAGGACGAGGTCTCCAGCGGGGAGTCTTCGTCCAGCGGCTACGGCAGCCCGCCTCAGCCGCACCCGCTCTGCATGCCTTTCTACCTCATCCCACCGTCGGCAGCTGCATACCTGCCCGTGTTGGAGAAATGCTGGTACCCCGGGGCTGGGATTCCCATGCTCTACCCTGGCGGTATTGGGGGCTCGTCCCCGCAGTCCAGTCCGCAGGCAATGGTGCTTTCGCCGCAAGGAGGTTCCCCGGCTCCCGTCACGCCCGTCCACGACACGCACAATTCGTCGCCCATGGATTCGCCCGCCCTGCTCCAAGCACTGAAGCAAGTGCCACCCCTCAGCCAGGAAACCAAAGAGTGAAAGACCAGAGAAAGTGTTTGAACGGACAGTATTAGTGGGAGGAGGGTGAACGCGGCATAAAAACGACAAGAAATCAGTTGGTACATGCTTGAATTTGATTTGTCAAACCGGTCAAAAACTCAGATTTTGCAGCAGTTTTGTCATTCCTGTTGTGGTTTATAAGCTCAAAGTTCAGACCAGATCTAATGTGACTGCATTTATCAAAGGATCAGCTTTTCCTTCTTGTTCCATAGTCAAACATTGTTACAGCAAAGTCAAAATAAATTCAGATTAAAATATATTTTAAGCATTTATTAACTGAAAATGTTATTTTTTTGCCGCCAGAACTGAGCCATTTCCTAATGCTGCTCAAAAGCTTTGCAGAAAATGTTGCCCGCCTGGTCAGCCACTGGAAGACACAACCATTTTGACATTTCGAAAGCTTCAAAAAGGCCCATAATGAAATGGACAAATCCAGCAAGAACTCAAAATAAAACTGAAATCAAGTTGTATTTCGAGACCTAGACAACTGCTTTGACTGACTCTCTGACCAGGCCGGTACTGGCTTTGCCACATCTCTTGCCGAATGTTCCCAAAAAATGTAAGATAGCGTGGACTCCCTTCCTCCCCACTTCACTTTGAATGTAGAGAGACATTTCTTTTAAGACGCTGCTGCTGATACAAACACTTTTGCACCGCGATTTCCCCTTTTTGCACCAAATATCAGCTCCCAAAGCTTTGCACACGGGCACTGTATTCTTTGACAGATCACCTGACCACAATGAATGCAACTATTCCTCAAAAATCGAAGATGGATTCTTTCTTTTTGGTGTATAAGATATATATAAGGTTGTATATTTCTATTTTTGATACCCGTAGTAGCGCGCAGAGCGGACAGTAGTGTGTACATCCTCAGCACTGTGCTCTGGACCTGTGTCTCCAATCAAACCTGGTGTTTGTGACTGCCTTTGACTCGTGAAGCTCTGTCCCCTCTGTGTCGGACTGGAGGACTGTGCAGAGTGGAGGAGAGGACGTGAATGTCTAGTTTTCTATAGAAAGAGGTACTTAAGATGCTCTATTTTGGGACCTGCCTGAAAGCTGTTTGATGTACATAGTGTATTTTGTCTATAAATGTTGATATACAATATAAGTGTATGAATAAAGTATTTTTCCTGTGGAACAGTTGTGGGTTTGTTTGATTCTACTGGTGTCATTTTAGGGCATAAGGTCGACACAACCCTCAATGACACACATATATATAATTCATTCACAATCTATAGAGATGTCATGATGGTCCAAATGAAATGAACCCAAATCGCTGGACTGCAAAAATAGGTACCTGTATTTTTTTGGAATAAAGTCACTCCGGAGTAAAAACTGCATCAGACAAAACTGCAAAATAAAGAAGGAAGAAAACAAATACATGTAGGTCGCACTGGAGTATAAGTCGAATTTGTTATTAGCTTAATCGCTCAACTTAAGAGCCCGGGCTGTTATTTTATATTTTAGGGCAAATAAAATATCTGTTTTTATAATTTCACACAGAAGTCAATCCAAATGACAAAAACTGGGACCTATAATCTGAAAATACAGTATTTATTTGAAGCAAACACAAATAAATAAATACCAGTGGTCATTATCCACCTGCAGGATGTTTCTGTAGAGAACCGGTCAAAGTTCTGGAGGTCCAAAGTTCTGGAGGTCCAAAAGTCCAAAGGTCTAGAGGTCCAGAACCACTTGAGTGTGACTCCATCCAAAAGCAGGACAAAGACAGCACAGACATTCTCAGCTTCACAGAACATTCCTGACGATCTGGGACCAACAGGAGTCGGCCTCGATGGTCTCAAGTTTTGCCGCCGATTTGAATTTTCATTTTTGGATTTTTGGATAAAGACATTTACAGACGTTTAAAAGAGTCCTTCAAAATACTTAATTATTTTTGAAATATCAAAAATAGAGGTTTAGTAATGCCAAATTCACATTTGTGTATGAACATTTTTGCAATTATACTTAAAGTATTGATTGTGAATGGATTGTTCCAATGTAGCTCCATATTTTATGTCAGTGAATGTTAAGGACAATATTTACAATTTGTTTTGTGAGGTCCATGAACAAAAACTTTTCCAAAGTAAAAAAAGTAAATGTTCCTGAATTTCAATATAATTAGTACAAAAGACACAGTCATTTTCCCCAAAAATACATTTGGAATTTAAAAGTCTCGACATGGACAAAGATTGTTTATAGTTTTAGAATGTTCCACTTTCTGTGGAACTGGAGATTTAACATATCACATCTAATGGATTTAATATTTTTACTTCTTTACCAATTCTTGTCTAAAGATCCTTTTAAAGTGCAAATATAAAGCTTGAGGAATTGAATGTATTACATCTGAACGTTTTTGAATTTACGAGTAATTTTGTGTCTATTATTGAACTCTGCAGAGTTGATCCTTCTCATCCTTCAGACACATCACTGACCTTTTTCCTTTGTCCAGTCTTTCACGTAAAACGACTTCTTTTTAATAAGGATATATCTTTTGTTCCATATGGGGTGTAAAGTTATGGTTATAGACTAATTTCCAGTATTGTGGAACCTGTTCATGGTATTTTGAGTTTTATGGGCAGTTTAGATAGTTCAAAGTCACATTGTAAAAGAAATTGAATACCACCTAAATGTTCTAATATTTGGGAGCTGAAACCAAACAGTGTTCATGTGAGTTATAAACTGTTGTAACCGCCTTTATTTTAAAGCACCATTCATTGGATCAAAATCTATAGCATTTAAGCCGCCTTCCTCTGAGGACTTGACAACATAATTCTTCTGTATAATGATGTCTATTTTCCAGATGAAATGAAAATGGCTGTCAAATGATAAATAACTCTGGAGAGACCTTCCGTTTTAGAGAGCAACAATCCACCAAATATGGACAGATCTCTCTCTAACCATATATTTAAAATAGTCTTACTCTTTCTAATGGTATTATCAAAGTAGTTTTTTTGAAAACAATTCCCAAATATGTAACTCAATTCAACTTTATTCCGGACTCATAGTCCAATACAATTAAATAAAAATAAAGGACAAGACAGACAATTAAAATGGCATTTTAAAAAGACAACCATGCCAATGTTTCCACAAGTCAGATTGATACCGTGTCGCACTCCATTTTATATTCGTGAGGGACACTATTATTTCATTTTCAGACGTGTTCAATCGACACATAAAGCTGTACATCAAAGTTCGTAGCACGGCCTGTAAAGTGTTCACTCTGGCATTAACAAACATTTCTGTGGCACTTGACCATCTCGGCTTTTTCAAAAGCACACGCAAAGCATCATTATAGGCCACCTGGAGCTTACGCATGCTGGCTTTCTTATAATGAGACCAGAGATGAGCTGTGTATAAGGGAGTACAGTACGCTTTAAATAACGTTAGCTTCACTCTCTCTGTACAACAGCCAAACTTCCGTACCAGGGTATTAGCCTGGGCATACAACACTCTGCATTGTCTGTAAATGTCATCATCATCAGACATGTCCTCAGTGATGATGTGCCCGAGGTACTTGATTTTGGTGACAACATGCAAAACATCATTACACAAACAAAAGTTAGGAAATGTCAGGTTCTTATCTTCCTTGGTTTTAGAAATCATAACCACACTCTTCGAACTATTGTACTTAATATCATGTTCCAGACCATAAGTTGAGCAGATATTAAGGAGCTGCTGTAAACCAGCCGTACTTGGACTAAACACGACAATATCATCTGCGTACAAAAAATGGTTCATAATAGTTCTTCCAGAGACACAGCCAGTGTGACAGTCTTTGAGTTTAGATGACAGTTCGTCTAGATACAGGTTAAATAACACTGGGGACAGAACACCCCCCTGTCGGACCCCATTGCTCACTTTAAAAGGGGTAGATACACTGTTCCCCCATTTTATTTGCACTGTTTGCTGTGAGTACCAGTATGCTAAAAAAACGCACAGCATAACTGGGTACACCTTTTTGGGCTAATTTCAAGAATAGTTTTCTATGATTGACCCTGTCAAATGCTTTTGAAGCATCCAAAAAGCACATAAAAACAGATGAATTTTGTCTTCTATATTTAGCAATTACCTCTTTAAGTGCATATATACACATGTCAGTGCCTAACCTGGTCTTAAATCCAAACTGGTTATCCGTAGATCTCACAAGTTTGAGAATCCTTTCCAAAAGGACAGCTTCAATGATTTTAGACACTATACTAGCCAAGGCTATCGGTCTGTAGTTATCTGAACAGCCAAGCTTCCCAGTTTTGTTTTTAATGACTGGAACCAATAACACAGCTAACATAGAGTCTGGTATGAAACCATGCACAAGAAAAGCTGTGAAACAGATAGAAAGCAGTGGGGCCAGCCTCACACTTGCAAACTTTAAGTGCTCAGCAGAGATTCCATCCAATCCTGTACTTTTGTTATTAGACAAATTGGTTATTGCCCTAAAGATCTCACTTGTCATAATTACGTCAACATTGTCAACATCATTTACAGCATAGAGTTCACTCGGAACACAATTAAACAAACTGCGGTAATGCTGCCGCCATAGTTCTAAGATGTTCTCAGTACCAGAGGCACCATCCACCACACAGGGCAGAGATCTTTTATTCAAAGATATTCCTTTCACTTCCTTCCAAAAGTCGTATGTATTGTTACAGGAGAGTTTCCTGGCCATAGAATCAGCTCTCAGCGCTCTCTCATTTTTACTGATGTAGCGCACAGCATATTTATACTGGGCATTAGTTAGCCTTTTATGTTCAAAAACAGGCCCATATCGAGGTTTCCCCGCCAGTATCCATTCTGTAGAAGCCTCCCGAGCTCTAGTATAAACATCCGCCACATGATCATTCCACCCAGGCCTTACCCTCTTTTTAGATTTTGGTCTTCGAAGGGGTTTACATGACTCGTACAGCACTTTAACAATATCCTCATACATAGAACTGATGACAGATTTGTGATCAGAATTATTGCAGTTACCATCTCTACAC